ACCAGCCAATGAGAACGGGCTGATCAGTGCACCTAGCGTTTAAGGCTGAACGCAGGACCAGGGAGGCTGAGCTGCAGGGCAAGGCCACTCTTCCGTTGGTTTGGTTTGCCCTCGGCTTCACCCTGTAGTTAAGCTCAGTCATGAACGATGGGCCCGTGGGTGGGGACTAAACAACACCTGAGCACACTGGGAAAGATGGGCCTGCCTAGGTACTGGGGCAGCCAAGTACCAGAGACACAGCAGAATGAGGCCGGGGGATCACAAGTTCAAGGACAGCCTCCACAAGCAACTCAGTGACCCTGTCTTAAAATAAAAAAATATATATATAAAGGGCTGGAGCTGTGGCTCAGTGGTAGAGTGACCTTGGGTCCAATCCCCAGTACCAGAAAACAAAGCGAAGCTCTGGAGGAAAGGGAGAGGTGAGCTGCGAAGGCCGAAGGCCGTGGGCAAAAGGGAAAGAGCCGCTCTGCCCTGGTTCGTCCTTGCCTTGCACCTGTTCTTGACTTGAGCTGTGGCATCTGCCTAGAAACCAGCATAAAGGAAAAGATGAGAGGGCCAAAGAGCGCATGTCATCTCTCACAAGGGCCGGTGACACGGAGGCTGCTCTGGGCGTCTGGAGTGAGGGAGTTCTGGCTTTGAGGTAGGATAGAAGCATAAAACGGCAGGTAAAAAGGAGACACAGGAAAAACAAGGAGACGGTCACTTTAATCTCAGTCTTGTGCCAAAGTTGTTCAGACCTTCACTTCCCAAAGCCAGTTCTCTCTCTCAGGCCTGTCACTCCCAAATTTCTGGGAAATCGATAAATCTTCGCTCACAATCTTAAGGTTACTAAAGATTCATCCAGTTACAAAATTTGCCCTCTGCACTGTAAATTAGCCCACAGATACATGTGTTTTTTGAATAGATTGAGCAAAGGGAATGCAAGACCTATAATCTAGGGCGCTTTCCCAACATTACCTATTGATCAGATAATGAACCTAAGGATCCTGAGCCAGGAGGATTGCAAGTTGAAAGCCATCCTGTGACCGCCAGACTGATGTCCATCCCACTCGCCTTCCCAAACCCACCCCTCACCAAGTGTCTTTTGAAAGGAGAATGGAGAACTCCAAAAGCACCTTCCCCCTTGAATATGCATACCTTGCTTTCCTAAATAAATCTCTGTGTCTCAGCATCTGTCTCTGCGCAATTATTTTCTGTCACATACATCAAGGACCTCCGTTGTCATCATGAAATTCATTTGGAAAAGAGGCCCAGAATAGCTAAAGCAAACCTTACTGAGAAGAGTGAAGCAGGTGGCATCACAACACCAGACTCTTAATTTATGCTACAGAGAAACAGTAACAAAAATGGCATGGTATTGGCACCAAAACAGACACGAAGACCAATGGTACAGAATAGAAGGCACAGAGACAAACCCACTAAATATTGTTATCTTAAATTAGACAAAGGGGCCATAAACATACATCAGAGAAAAAACAACCTCGTCAACAAATGGTGCTGGGAAAACTGGAAATCCATATGAAGCAACACTAAACTGCTATCTCTCACCCTTCAAAAAACTCAACTCAAAATGGATCAAGGACCTAGGCATTAGACCAGAGACCTTACACCTACTAGAGGAAACAGTAGGCCTGGGGCTGGGGTGTAGCACAGTGGTAGAGCACTTGCCTAGCATGTGTGAGGCGCTGCGGTTGATCCTCAGCATCACATAAAAATCAACAAACAAAATAAAGGTATTGTGTCCATCTACAACTAAAATAAAATTTTTTAAAAAAGTAGGCCCAACTCTCCATCATGTCAGCTTAGGAAATGACATCCTCAACAAGACTTCTAAAGCACAAGAAGTAAAATAAAGAATCAATTAATGGGATGATATCAAACTAAAGTGTTTCTTCACAGCAACGGAAATAATCAAGAATGTGGAGAGAGAACCTACAGAATAGGAGAAAGTCTTTGCCACTTGCACCTCAGATAGAGCATTAATCTCCAGGATATATAAAGAATTCAAAAAACTCAACACCAAAACAACAACAACAATAACAACAAAACCCAAATAACCCAACCAATAATTGGGCACAGGAACTGAACAGGCACTTCACAGAAGAAGAAATACGATTGGTCAACAAATATATGAAAAAAATGTTCAACATCAATAGCTATTACAGAAATGCAAATTAAAACTGCACTGAGATTTCATCTCACTCCAGTCAGAATGGCAATCATCAAGAATACAAGTAACAGTAAATGATGGCAAGGATGTGGGGAAAAGGCACACTCATAATTAGCTGGTGGGACTACATATTGGTATAACACTCTGGAAAGCAGTATGGAGATTCCTCAGAAAACTTGGAATTGAACCACCATTTGACTCAGTTATCCCACTCCTTAGCATATACCCAAAGGATTTAAAATCAGCATACTGTAGCGATCCAGCCACATCAATATTTATAGAAGCTCAATTCACAATAGCTAAACTGTGGAACTAACCTAGGTGCCCTTCAACAGATGAATGGATAAAGAAAATGTGGCATATTATACACAATGTAATATTACTCTGCCATAAAGAAGAATGAAAATGTGGCGTTTACTGGTAAATGGATGGACCTGGAGACTATCATGCTAAGTGAAATAAGCCATCCCCAAAACCAAAGGCCAAATATTCTCTGATATGCAGATGCTAACACACAATAAGGAGTTGGGGTGGAGAATAAAAGTTCACTGGATTAGACATAAGGAAATTAAGGGAAGGGAGTGGAGATGGGAATAGGAAAGACAATAAAATGAACTGAACATAACTTTCCTATGTTCATATATGAATACACGACCAGAGTAACTCCACATCATGTACAATAACCGCAAGAATGGGAAGTTATACTACATGTATGTATAATATGTCAAAATTTACTCTGCTGTCACATGTATCTAAAAAGTATTTTTTTACAAAAGGACCCCATTGTCTTTAGTTGAGGCTTCCTCTCTTGGGAACCTCCTCAGGCCACCTTCAGGCCTGAGAGGTTTTTGTCCCCCATCTATGTGGCCTTGGGAAAGTCTTTCCATCTCTAACAATCTCCATCTTCTTGCCGATTAAACCACTGGGCTAGACTACAGTATATTTTTGTTGTTGTAAGTCTTTTTGTTCTTTTGTTTTTTGTTGTGCTGAGTGAAATCCACACAGTAAAAAGTTAGCCACTTAAAAGTGTTTTGGGGTGTAATGGTGAACACCTGTAATCCCAGCCACTTGGGAGGCTGAGGCAGGAGGATTGCAAGTTCAAAGCCAATCTCAGCAATGTAGTGAGGCCCTAAGCAAATTAGCAAGACTGTCTCAAAATAAAAAATAAAATTAAAAAAAAAGGCTGGGGATGTAGCTCAGTGATTAAGTACCCCTGGGTTCGATCACCCCTGATACCACCCCCCAAAAAACATTAAAAAATAAAAGTGTTTTTATAATTCAGAATGTACAATCAACATCTCCACCTAGTTCCCCAATATTTTCATCAATCCAAAAGAAAATTCTGGCAGTACCCTCCTCACAGAAATTGGCTATCATATAAGACATACAGTAGCCTTTTGTGCCTGGTTTCCTTCACTTAGCATAAGGCTTTTGAGGTCTTACAGTTGTAGTATATATCCATTCTTCATTCCTTTTTATGGCTGAATAATATTCCATTCCATATTGAGCTCCAACATGATCCTCTTTCATTTCCGATCATCTGCTCAACATGCACATAATGAACACAAATTAAGCCCAAGGCAGGTGCTGAGGGGAAATAGTTGGGAAAACATGTCCCCTTGAATCTACCGCAGTTCCTTCTAAAGAAGGGGACAGGAGCAAATGGTGCCATCTAGTGCTACTTGAGATAATTTTAGGAAATACACTGCTGGGGGAGTGGGGGAAACAAACAAATAACACCAATTCTCAATTATTCTCTTTTTAATTCTCTTTCAATCCTTCTGATTACATCAACAAAAAAGATCTGATCTAAGGTTAGAATGTCTCTAACTGCCTTCTCTCATTCTCTCTTTTTTAACAAAAAAGCTTAGACTTTTGGCAGACAACTGTACCTAGCTGGGACTGTATAATATTTTGCTTTAATGTGTTTATTTTAAATCACTTTCTATTTATAGCAAATTATAAGGTTTTTCCATGTAAGTTGTTTAACATTTTCTTTCAAATAAATTCATTTATGTTTTTAAAAAGTGAGTTAGGTGAAAGAAAATAGCAAATAACATTCAGGTGTTTCGAAGACTTGAGGAACTAAATCGGTGCCTGGTGTCAAACCAACTTAGAGACTGCAGTTTGTCACATTTACTGTGAGGCACTGGGTGATTTTTGTGTATGTTTGAGTGCTTCTTCCAAGTACTGCGCTTATTACTGCGTTCCTGGTTTCATTAATTGACAAAAGCCAAATTTTAGGGCTGGGATTGTGGTTCAGTGGTAGAGCGCTCCCCTAGCATGGGCGGGACGGGGTTTGATCCTCAGCACCACATAAAAAAATAAAGGCATTGTGTTGTGTCCATCTACACCTAAGAAATAAACATTTTTTAAAAAGCCAAATTTTAAATTTGTCCCAATTCTTCTAATTTGGGAAAGAGAGGCCAAAATGAAGGTGCATACACTATCCCAAAGGTTTTCAGGCAAACAGAGCTCCATGGGCCTAAGTCACTTAGCTCATTAACGTATTAAAACTCAATTAATAGTTAATTCCATTTCCTGTAGAAGCCAGACGCTTTACAAGAGCCAGAAATAGTAAATGGATGCTCCCAGAGACCCGATAGAAACGGGAATCCACACGAGGTCAACAGGAAAAAACAAATCAGTCAGAAAAATGGAGAGAGACACCCAGCTCCCTGCCTGGATTCGTTCTTTTTAGGTGAGAGAAGGAGGACAGCACTCAGCTACTCCAAGGCACAAAGAACACTTTCCTGGGGAAGTGAAGTCCCTAAAAGGGAGGAGACCGTGGCTCCTCCGGCCCCGCCCCTCAAATGCCCCGCCCACACCACGCCTCCAACAGGCCACGCCCCTCCGCCCCGCCCACTCCGCGGCTCCCGCGTGCACTGAAGATGGCGGCGGCGGTGGGAAGGTTGCTCCGGGCCTCGGTGAGTGGCTGCCGGCTGGGACAGGTGCGGAGATGCTGCGGTGGCTCCGCGACCCGTTTCCCAGGCAGGATCGTGCCCTCCTGGGCCCGGGGCCGTCCGTCTTCCTTGGAGGGCGCCTGCAGGTCACGGACCCCGAGGCCTTCGCCTGGAGGGTTCCCTGCGCCTGCGCAGTACCGCCTCCCCTACCCTGTGCTCTCGGTCGGGTCCCGGAGTCCCTCCGCGCTCCCCGGTTCCTGCTCCCCTTAAGCACCTGTTTCTGTTGCTGGAAACAGGCGTCATGGTCCGTGGTCCTGCTTCTGTCACCGACTCTATGACCTTGGGCAGGTGACTTCGCCTTTCTGAGCCTCAGTTTGCTTTCCTCTAAGTTGGAAAGAGTGATGCCTAAATCAAGGCGTTGCTGGAGCATGGACTTAAATAGTGGATGGAAACACAGAGTGCTGCAGTAACGAAAGCCACTTTCTCCTCCCACCCTCGGTGTTCTCTGTTACCTGCTTTTCTCCTCGTGCCCTCGTAGGGTTCACGGCAGGCCCTGTCTCCTTCCTGCGTCATGCTGGATGTTAGATGAGCAAACATTTCCCTTGAGCCCTGTCCAAACTTTGCCAGAGGCTGAACTTTGCTCTACTTATTTGCTTGTCTTTTGGCCTGGAAAGACCTTGCCTTTTCTAAGGAAAACCTTGACATAACACATGTGCCAGATAGTGCAAGGTGAGGATTTAAATACTCAGGGCCTGGCCAGGTCTCCCTAATTTTTTAACCCTCACTGTTGCTCTTAAGAGTATGGAGTTTTTGATTCTTGAGTGTTTGTGTTCTTAGTTTCCCTCCACCTTACAGTCTTTGCTTTTTTTTTTTTTTTTAATTTTTTAATATTTATTTTTTAGTTTTCGGCGGACACAACATCTTTGTTGGTATGTGGTGCTGAGGATCGAACCCGGGCCGCACGCATGCCAGACGAGCGCGCTACCGCTTGAGCCACATCCCCAGCCCCTGCTTTTTTTTTTGTACCAGGGATTGAACTAAGGAGCACTGAACCACACCTCCAGCCGTATTTTGTTATTTGTTTACAGACAGGGTATCACTGAGTTGCTTAGTGTGTCACTTTTGCTGAGACTGGCTTTGAACTCACTATCCTCCTGCCTTGAAGAAGAAGGAAGCAGAAGAGAATATCAAGAACATGGGGACTCAACCCATGCTCCTAAGAGTTTTGGATGTGGTATTTGGTTCACAGGGACAAGGACAGCTGAGGCCATCATGGGCACGAAGCCCTTTCAGCAAGGTCAGCCTTTAGTCACCATTTGGAAAGACTTTCTAACAAAGTGTTTCTCTTTCCAGGTTGCTGGACATGTGAGTGCCATTTCTCGGGGCATTTCTGCCACTGCAGTCCTTAGGCCTGTTGCTTCTAGAAGAACACATTTGACAAACGTACAGTGGTCTGGCTCTGCTCTATCAAAATTCACTTTTAGTACCAGTAAGTGTTACTGTGCCATGGTTGGACTCAGGTATAAGGAAACACAAATTATTCTCTCTGGACAGGACAATAGCGCTGACCCCTAGCTATCCATTAGACACTCCTAGGAGCTTTTGCCTTGATGGGGCAGCGGAGGTGGGGGGGGGGGCAGCCTTGTTAAGTAAGTACTCTACCACCGAGCTACTCCTCAGCTCATTTTATTTCCGCCACCTGAGTAGCTGGGATTGCAGACTATTGCACCCAGCTCTTTGGAGCGTTAAAACACATAGCATGATGGTGTTCAGATCCATGGGAAATTGTGTCCAAACAGTAGGTAACTGACCTCATCAAAACTTTAAGATAAACCTATCAGAAAACACCAAGAAGAAAATGAATAGACAAATAGGCACAGTGGCGTGCTCCTGTAATCCCAGCTACTGAGGATGCTGAGATAGGAGGATTGCAAGTACAAGGTCAGTCTAGGCAACTTAGTGACACCCTGTCTAAAATAAAAAATGAAAAAGGGCTGGGGATATAGCTCAGTTATAAAGCATCCCTGGATTCAATCTGCAGTACTTGCCAAAAAATCAAAAAGAAAGAAAGAAAGAAAGAAAAAAATGAACAGGCAAGTCATAACGTAGGAGAAAATATTCGTAAAAAATATATATCTAACAAGGATGATTATCTAAGTAAGCTAAAGAAATACGACAGCTCAATAAAGAGACAAACAACTGGATAAAATAGCAGTGCCTTAGTCCCACCCCCAGATAAATTAAGTGACTCTGGTAAGACCACTAGTTCAGTATGTTTATTTACTTATTAGTTTATAGGTGGACACAGTATTTTATTTTTATGTGGTGCTGAGGATCAAACCCAGTGCGTCACACATGGTAGGCAAGCGCTGTACCTCTGGGCCACAATCCCAGCCTAGTTCAGTATATTTTAAAAGCTCCCTGGGTAGTTCTAATGTGCAGCTAGGACTGAGAATCACTGAGGCGAACTGTCCTTGGCCTGTGTTGCATTTCCTTATTGGTTGCCTCTTTTGAGAGGTATGGGGGCACTCAGGTGCCTTTTGGGCTGACTGTGTAAGAAGGGATGTGAGCGGTTGGTGGCCACCACTGGGAATCAAATCTGTCTGCTGGCTCCAGCTGGCCACTTGGGAGCCAGACCTATTCAGTGGCATCCTTCAATATTTGTGTGAATCTTAGACATTTTTGAGCTTTCTACTTCATTCTCTAAACTGGACTTTGTGAAGATCAGCCTTGGATAACAAGTGATACTTGAAAATGCCTCCTTAAGATTTGTCTTGTCTTTGAGAAATAAGTGTTTAATATGTAATGGTTTGAGGGGAATGTTCTAAAGTTTCTCACAATTTTGAAAATACATCTAATAGTTATTTGATGCCAGAGGCTTGGACCTTTCCTCCACTAGTCCCAATCCCTGCCCCCAGCAGCTCCTTCTGTTTCTCTTGGTGTCAGTCCTAGACAGTTTAACGCTGGATCTCCTTTATCCCTCATTCCCAGGCAGAAGCAAACCCTCTTTAGTTTTTTATTTTTACTGAGGTGCTGGGGATCGAACCCAGGGTCTGGTGCATGCTAGGCAAGCACTCTACCACTGAGCTACACCCCCAGGCCTCCTTTACACTTTTATCATATCTTTTGTATCCATTCTTTTCTTTTCTTTTTTTTTTTTTCTGTTCTCTCTGCCACACCTCAGTACCTCTCACTGAGATAATTGAAATCACCACCTAACATCAGTTTTACCCGCCTGCCAGACTTATCTGCTGGAAAACAGCTGTCTGGGCTCATCTCCTGTAGAAGAACCTCCCCTGGCTCCCAGTTCTCTCTCCTGTGAGGAGCAGACAGCTCTGTGCCTGGCCTGGCCTGGCCTTCCATCATTCTTGCTTGCTGTGTCTGCAGCTCTTCTTCTCTCCAGACCTTTAGATTCTGTTTATTCTAACCAAATTGCCATAGGCAGTTCCTTTGACACACATGTCCTGTTCCTGCCATTCCTCCATGCCTTTGCCCTGTCCCCTCTAGACCTGGCAGAATCTGAACAATATTTAGAATCCCTCCCCACGTCTCTTGCCTTCTCTAGTTCTACCCCTACTGCCTTTGTCTTCCTCTGGTTCCTTTTGTTTTTGTCTTTGTCTTTCTATTTATTTATTATGGCACTGGGGATTGAACCCTAGGGTGCTCTACCACTCCTATATCCCCAGCCCTTTTTCATTTTTTATTTTGAGACAGGGTCTCCCTAATTGCCAAGGCTGGCCTTGAACTTGAAATCCACACCTGTTTTGTTCCTTTTTGAAGTTTCTCCATAGCACTTTGTATTGAGTTTGAGCACAATCTAGAGGCCCTTGCTCATCTCATCTTGCACCTGCCTTGTTCCAAGTGTATTTTATTTTTTAACTGACAAATAATATATAATATACAATGAAAACATTGTGTGTGTTTATGAGGTACAATGTAATATTTTGATACAGGTATACATATACATTGTGGAGGGAACTTTGTGGAGGGAAAATTTACTTAAGATATACATTTTCATTCATTCATACTACTAGACAATTTATATTGCAAGTTAATTATCATGGGAAGTTTAAATACAATCAAATCAATGCTGTGTAGCAAGTGGTGAACTCATGTGGGTGTGGGTTTTTTCCAGGCTCCTCCTACCATGCTCCTGCTGTCACTCAGCACGCGCCCTATTTTAAGGGTACAGCTGTTGTCAACGGAGAGTTCAAAGAGCTAAACCTTGATGACTTTAAAGGGAAATACTTGGTGCTTTTCTTTTACCCTTTGGATTTGTAAGTGCAATTTCTGTCACATTTTCCTGTTATTTTTTTTTAGTTGCTCTTCTAGTTCAGGGGAGGACTCTTTCTGGCCACTTGTCACTGATTGCCTTGTTAATCTGGGGCTACTTCACAAGTGGTAATGCAGCAGGAGGGAGTGGCATTCCCTTTGAAGGTGCATTTTAATGTGGCTCTGTCTTGGGGGCTTTGGAGCAGTGGTTCCTTAGACCAGTCTTTGAAGATGTTTTTGCTGGTCTAAGGAAAGACTAATGATAATAAACTTTTTTTCCTAAAGCTACTTTATTTAGGTACAGTTTTTAAGAGCATTCTTAAAATGTGCCCCCCACTTTTGGTATAATTCCTTAAACAGGACAGTGATAGGAGATAGTAGTTCTTTTTCAGGTGTTAACACAGGAGTCTGGTGAGGATAGTTAACCGATGTGCCTTTTTCACCTGTGAGCAAATCAAGCTAGTTTTTAGACTACTTATTGTTCAGATTTTAAATTCTTGATATATTATCTGATGAAACGTTTTACTTTTTTTCCAAGCACCTTTGTGTGTCCTACAGAGATCATTGCTTTCAGTGACAAAGCCAATGAGTTTCACGACGTGAACTGTGAAGTGGTTGCAGTCTCGGTGGATTCGCATTTCACCCACCTTGCCTGGATCAATACACCCAGGAAGGTAGGCTCCTGCTCACCTCATCTTGCACCTGCCTTGTTCCAAGTGTATTTTATTTTTTAATTGACAGATAATATATAATATACAATAAAAACATTGTGTGTGTTTATGAGGTACAATGTAATATTTTGATCTAGGTATACATATACATTGTGGAATGATTACATCAGGCTAACACATCCAGTACCTCAAATATTTATCAGTGGTGAGGAAATTTAAAATCCTCTTGTTTACCTGTTTTGGAACATACTATCATTGGCTGAAGTCACTGTGCTGTGCAGTAGTTCACCGGAACTTAGTCCTTCTAACTGTAACTTTGTACCCGTTGCTCAGCCTTTCCATTTCCCAACTTCTCCCTACCTGGAAAGTCTGCTGAACTGTCTGTTTACTGATGTATATGCACAGCTCACTACTCTTGTATTTTTCATGGTACAGACTGTTGTGGAGACAGGCTCAGCAAGCAGGGGACTTGGTTGGGGTCTGTTGGCCTTCCCTCAGGCCTGTACTCTGTGGATCCCAGGTACCCTGGGTGGCATGTCGAACTGTGGTGATCTGTGTGATCAGTATTGCCTAGAACTTTGCTTGGAAAAATCCAAATTTCTAGCTATGCTGTAGGACCATCCATATGGAAGTATTCAGTGTCTATTATTCTAATTTTTGTGTTTGAGAAATTGGTCTTCAATTCAAAGAATGTTTTAAGAATTAGGAAAAGAAAGGTCTATAGTATTGGCTAGGTTATTAAATCCTGCCTCTGGAAGGCACTTCGCCTTTGTGCCTCAGTGTCCTCATCTGTAAAGTAGTGTCTGCTCCAGGAGGAAGTGGGTTAGCAGGAAGAATTCATTCCTGCTCTTACTGTTACCTGTTGACACTTTTGTTCTCAAACATCGTTACATGGTCAAAAGGTTGTGAGAGTGGCACAGACAACCAGTCACCTTTGTGTTCTTATTAGAATGGCGGTTTGGGCCACATGAACATTGCTCTCCTGTCGGATTTAACCAAACAAATTTCTCGGGACTATGGTGTGCTTTTGGAAGGTGCTGGTCTTGCACTCAGGTAAGAGTCTGTTCCTTGTGAATTCAAAATGGTTTTTCATGTTCAACATCATCCTACACGGACCCTGGCAAAGTGTTTCTTGTGTTTTTGCTGTGGTGGGATGTTTTATTTTTCCTTTTGTTGATTTTTTTTTATTTTTTTTTTATAAAAAAATTATTTTAGGAAATCATTTTTAAAAGCAAAAATTCCTTAATTTTAGTCCGAATAAGCATTGATGAAATTCCTCCTGTGAGAACCCGGTAGTCTCTCAGAAGTAGCCCAGACAGGTGTGCCTCATCCACAGCCTGTGTCTGTTCTGGAGAAAGCTGTCCATGTCTCCATGGGAACACTGCTCTGGACCTCTGGGGGCCCCTACCATGCCCCCCGCCCCTCCTGGCAGCGAAGCCCTCAGGCTGTTTGGAGAAGGCGCTGTAGCAGGGCAAAGAGGCCACCTTCTGGTGCAGAGACAGAAATATCCCTGGAATCAAATAGGTCTGGACTTGATTTTTTTTTTTTTTTTAATCAGCTACTTAATGGCTGTGTTTCTTTGAGAAAGCTATTTACTTCTTGGAGCCCAGTCTGCCTTTAACTACAGTGAAGATGAATATCTCACAGGTTGGTGGTAAGGCAACTGGAGCTTTTAGTGAAGTTCCTGGCAGCGATTACAGCTGAGATCTGCCTCCGAATTCCATTTCTGCCCTCCCTTGATCTGTGATTAAACCTCGACTCCTTTGGGTGTGAAAAGCTTTCAGTCTCCCACAGTCGCATGCTCAGATGCAGCCTTCTTGGGAGGAGGGGAGCAGAGCGTTAAGAGCTACCCTGCATCCCGAAGCTTATGGAGAACAGAGCGGGATGAGGGAGGACTGGGCGGAAGATGACATCAGGAAGGAGGGTCCCACCCCCAGGTACCTCCCTGTTTTGCTGGAGTCACCCTGAGCTCAGAAAACCTGCCCTCTCTCTTTGCTGCCCTCTGACCTGCTCTCCTGGGTTACACCTGAGATTTTAGCTCTGGGCAGCTCCTGGTTGATGTCAAGGTCATTGTTATGTCCTTTAATAAATCACAAGCTGGCTCCCTTGGAGGTGGCAATAGCAGGAGAAAGAATGTTGGCTGGCTTTTTTCAGGGTCCCTTTCCCCGTGGGGTCTTTATGATTTTTAAGTTAGCCCCCACCAGGGTCAATATTGGTATTACCAATGATCTTTAATCAATCTAGTAAGTTAACCTCTCTGGAGTGTGTGGGCCCTGTGTCCTCCCTGCTCTACCTCTGCTGCTGCCAGGGGCTCCCTTCCAGAAGCAATTACCACGGCTGGTTCAGCCTCAAAGGCGAGACCCCTAAGCACCAGGCCTGGGGAGGGACAAGCCCCTTTCACCTGGAGTGTTCTTGAACGTGTCTTTTCCCCGAGTGACTAACACTTGGACTTCCCACACCCTTAGGAGAGGGATGCTACAACCACTGAGTTGGGTGTACTGTGTACATCAGAGCCTGAAAACAGTCACTATGGGGTGGGCAGCCTGCCACACTACCACTGAGTGACCAGTCGTCAGGAGCCCACATCTGCTCGTGTGGACTTGGAGCCAGCTTGCTCTGGCCACAGATATTTCCCATGGGATTTCCCCCTAACCATCCAAGAATCTGCTCATTTAATAAGTATTTGTTGGATACAGATAAAATACATCTCTGTCCCTTCCCCTTTGCCTGTGGTTTCTTGCCAGGGTTTGATACAGCTGCCCAAAGAATGCTGGCCAAGTCATTAATAAGTAAAGAAGTCTTTGCTCTCTCTAGTTCAGTGACTTTCAGATACTATGTGACGTTCAGGGACTATCCTGCATGTTTTCCATGGTGGCCTGGTTCAGTCCTGCATCATTATCTGTCCTTAATAAGAGATGATAAGCTCTTTATACACTCCTAATTTTAAACATATGACAGCGCTTAATTTAATAAATGTTAAAAGGAAAATTAAAGACAGGAAAGGGTAGTAGTTAGACAGTTGTTTAGTTCTGGTACTGTTGTGTTACTGAGGAGAAATTCTGAAACTATGCAGAGGTCTCTTCATAATTGACCCCAATGGAGTCATCAAGCATCTGAGTGTCAACGACCTGCCCGTGGGCCGGAGCGTGGAGGAGACCCTGCGCCTGGTGAAGGCATTCCAGTTTGTGGAAACCCACGGAGAAGTCTGCCCAGCAAACTGGACACCAGATTCCCCTACAGTAGGTTCTTTTCCCAAAAGTAACAGGATCCGGCACAGGGTCCCAGGTCCTCTCTGCCTCAAGGGCATATCTATCAGAGGGAGCCTATCAGGGGACCAGGGGTAGACTGTGCAGTGGGAGAGGCTGTGGGGGTGGGGGTGGGTTTACAGAGCCAGAGACCACATATTTTAAAGAAACAGGCCGATTTTTAAAAATTGTAAAGAACACCAGGCATGGTGATACACACCTATAATCCCAGCTACTTGGGAGGCTGAGGAGGAGGATTACAAGTTCAAAGCCAACTTGGACTGGGGAAATAGTGGTACAGTGCCCCTGGGTTCAATCCTCAGCACTGCAAAAAGAAAAAAAAAGTAGTTTAGGTTAAAAATTGGGAACTTATCAGCTTCCAAAGTCACTGTTACACATTTATAAAATATTTTTGTATTTTCAGATCAAGCCAAGTCCAGCGGCTTCCAAAGAGTACTTTGAGAAGGTGAATCCGTAGATCATCCCCCGTGCCCTGCAACTTCTGATGCCAGGAGAGAGCCACAGCTGGAGCCTTTTTAGCATTGCAAAGATGATTATTTATAGAAGGAAAAACCTAATGATGCTTGTATTTATATATATCACTCTAAATGTTTTTGTTTCTGTGACACTGGCTAAGCCTTTCTAACAGTAGTTGCTTAACATCAGGAGTCACTGGGATCATCTTGAAGGCCTGGCTTCTGTTTCTTAGATCATGTCTTTAGTGGATAAAGGAAACACTCTTTAGCCTTACTTGTACCTTTGTCTACGTCTAAGTAGCACAATAAGTGCTTAAAGCTTCTGATCAATGGTCCTGAAAATTTCTTCTTGAATTTCTTTGTATTAAACTGCTTTTTTTTTTTTTTCAAGGTAACAGAGATCATAAGTTTTACATTATTAACCTTAGCAGTCCAAGTTAACTCTCAAAATGGAGATATATGTGATGGAAAGAACTGTGAATCATGTTATTTAAAAAACATGGTGGCAAAGTGACGTAACTGATCATGCATGATCCCTATCCCTGAGGTTTATTGTTTACATAGTTGATGAGGTGTGATTATAAAGGATATATATTGAATTATTAAACCCAGGGATTGCTTTGAAATTATTTTAATTATTTGCTTTCTTGAAGTGCTCAAAGTGATATGTATCATAAAAAATAAACATTTAAAAATATCTGCATTTCTTTTTTTTTTTTTTGGTACTAGAGATTGAATGCAAGGCTGTTTAACAACTTAGCCACATCCTCAGCCCGTGTGTTTATTTTTATTTTTTTAATATATTTTTAAATTATAGGTGGACCCAATATCTTTATTATATTTCATGTGGTGCTGAGGGTCAAACCCAGTGCCTCATGCATGCTAGGAGAGCACTGAACCTCTGAGCCACAAACCCAGCCCGTGTTTTTATTTTTTGAGACAGGGTCACACTAAGTTGCTGAGGCTGGCTTTGAACTTGGGATCCTCCTACCTCAGCCTCCCGGCACAATATTTGCATCTTTAACATCAGCTGTTGGGTCAGCTTATTCTGGGCTCTACTCCTCCTCCTCTGATTACATATCAACAAATAATCATTGGGCATTTACCACAGGAGCCACTTGCAGGGAACTCATTTAGGTGCAAGACAGATATGGAAACATTGTTTCAGTGGCCACCATGTGCTAGGCACTGCTATGGAAGCCTAAGAATGAATAAAAAAGACCCTGCCTGGGCTGGGATTATAGCTCAGTGGTAGGGGCTTGCTGGCATGTGAGAGGCACTGGGTTGGATTCTTAGCACCGCATACAGATAAGCAAAACAAGGGTCCATTGACAACTAAAAACAACAACAACAACAAAAAACAACCACTTTATGCACTCAATCCAGAGGGAAAGCACAATAAACAATAGAAATACAGAGTATTAGGAAGGAAAGTAGGGCGAGGCAAGGGTCTGGAGCAGAGTTGCAGGGTTCTAGGTAGGGTTGTCAGAGTATGCCGCTATAAAGATTCAGTTTTCTAATCTAAAAATGAGGACAATAGTTGTGCCTATCTCAGGGTTTTTATGAGAGGAAAAAGGAAAATGAGGGTGGTGGGGGAATAAGGGTTTTCCTGGCAGAGGGCATGGAAAGAGAACTGAGGCAAGGGTGAGCTTGGAGTGGAAGAAGACTTGCTAGGAAGACGGAGGTGGAGCATGAATAGTGAGAATGGCAATAGGGCCTCACAGAGTGCCTCTTGGGCAAGATAAGGACTTTGGAATCTGTTGTAGAACAGGGAACATTTATCTGAAAGGTTTTTTGGGGAAAAAAATTGACAACCTGAGTGGCTGGGGTTGTGGCTCTAGGCCCTGGGTTCAATCCTCAACACCACATAAAAATAAATAAAATAAAGGTATTGTGTCCAACTACAACTAAAAAAAGTCTTAAAAAAAAAAAATACATAGACTGAGGGCATGCCTGTAATCCCAGGGACCCAGGAGGCTTTAGCAAGAGGTTCACAAATTCAAAGCCATCCTCAGCAACTATGTGAGGTCCTGAGAAATTTAGCAAGACCCTGTCTCTAAAAAGAGCTAGGGATGTGGTGTGGTGGTTAAGTGCCCGTAGGTTCAATCCCTGAGTACCTGGTACAAAAAAACAAACAAACAAACAAAAAAAAACTGAACTGTAGGGCTCCAAGGTGGGGAAGCAGAGAGGCCAGCTGCATTGGATTTGTGACACCTTAAGGGTAGAGCCAACAAGGACCATGCAGCTGCTGTAACACTGACACCTGGCACAGTGGGTGTATGGGAAGGAACACTGAAGAGGGCACACCTTACCCAGCAGAGAGGTCAGGGGAGGGTTCCCAGAAGAGAACTGCTCAAGACTTTAGAACATGAGTCAGATGAGCTGAGCAAATACCAAATACGAGTGAAGTCACATAGACCTGAAGAAAGTCCTGAGCTGGACTCCCCTCCCGGGTGGAAAGGCCACAGGGGTGGAAAGGCCACGGGGGAGAACTAGGCGGCTGTGTTCATTGCCAATATTGAGCGTTTGCACTGGATCCGGCGCTGTGGGGTCATTTACAGGTTTTATTCCCTTTATCTTCAACAAACCCATAAAATTGGAACAATGGGTTATCCTCATTTTAGATGAGAATACAGACCAGGGGACATTAACTTGAACAGCTAAGTGTTGTGCAGGGTCCCCTAGCCCAGGACTTCGGAGGCCCTCTGAACACACACTGGTGGCTTCCATGAACTCAAGTGCACTCACTCTCCACCCACCCTGATGATGGAGGACAGGGATGGGACAGAGGAGGGAAGACATTTTCCTCTACAAATGGTAATTAATCTGGCATTCAACAGAAGAAGTAGATTTGGCCAAACGCTGGAAAACAATGAACCCAGAGCCAGATGCCAGGGACTGGCAGCGGGTCTCTACCCTCGGTTTAATATTCCGCCTTTGCCCTTTTGCAATTGTGAATGTTGACTAAGGAGTGCGTCGCTTTCATTTTCCCTGGGCTTTGCAAATTAGGTAGCTCGCTCAGACTGTACCCACCAAGTGCGCACCGGACATTAAGGGCAACTGAAGGGATTTTCGCGGGTAATGTCCAAAAGCTCGGGCGCACGGTGGCAGGCGCGGCAGGAGCGGAGGGCGAGGTTGTGGACGGCCCCCCGCAAGGCTGCTAGGGTCTTCTCAACAAGTACTGAGATTCCCCGTGTGACCCGGCCTGGTAGGACCCACTAAGGTGCGGAGCAGGGTCGGCGGACTTTGCCCGCGGGAGTAGCCGGCTCTTTGGAACCCGGCGCGGAGCCGGGGCGCGTGCGCGTGGAGACAAGGAGCGGCGCGCGCGCGGGGGTGGGCGGGGCACGCTGCCCAGCTCCTCCTCCGCGCCCGGCCTGGCGGCGACGGCCACTCCAACCCTACGTAGGTCCCAGCAAGAGGAGGAAGCGCGAGGCCAGCGCCGCCAGACGCATGGAGCCCAACGTGCGCTTCTGGATCGCGGAAAGCCGAGTACGCCCGGGCCCGCGCGGCTGGGGGCGGGGAGGGCACGCCGCGCGCCGCGTGGAAGCCACCTGGCCCTGGCGACCTTGGCGGCCCACGTGGCTGCCCTGCGCCTCCTGTCCTTAGTCCCTGAATGGCCCTGGAGGATGCATCCCCCTCCCACCACATCGCAGGCCGGGGAAGGGGGACGGAGGGGTAACCCAAGCTTGCGGGTGGCCACGGCGGCTGTTAGTGTGCATCCTTTATTCCCCAGACTGGGCTGGGGAGGGTCGCCACAAAGTCACCACCCAGATTCCCACCTCCCCGCCCCCCCCCCCCCCAGCCTGGTCCTACTGGTGTGTGCGGCCTGAGTTGCCCAGTAGCAGTTTGGGGAGATACAGGTCTGTTCAGGAGTTCCTGGCCTCCCACCCTTGATAGGCCAGCCACTCAGTGAGACCCCAGGTCGTCCCTGCACAGGAAGTTCCAGGGCTGATAGAAATGTGACCTGAGCCACAGAGGTACTTAAAAATTTTCCAGAAGTCTCATTTAAAAAGTACAAAGAAACAGGTGAAACCAGTTTTAATAATGTATTATTTAACCCCCAACAGATGCGAAATAGCATTTCAACATGTAATCTAAAAAACTTTTTTTTGGGGTACCAGGAATTGAACCCAGGGGCACTCAGTCGCTGAGTCACATCCCCAGCCCTATTTTGAATTTTATTTAGAGACAAGGTCTCACTGAGTTGCTTAGCCCTCGCTACTGCTGAGGCTGTCTTTGAACTTGCGATCCTCTTGTCTCAGCCTCCCGTTGTTATTAGACTCATTTTTGGTACAGTTCTTAAAAGCTAGGTGTGTTTGCTATACCTAAGTCTATCCCAACACTTACCCCATTCCCATGCTCCATAACACACAGGGTAAGCTGGACAGTGGGGCCCCAGGCATTCCTTGCAGCCTTGACTTAAAAGTAGGGCCTAGCTTTATTTTGGGTGAAGAATTTGAGAGAGGACCAGGAATTCCAGTTCTCTGGGTAGATCCAGGACTTAAAGGCTGAACCCCTGCAAAGTCTGGGGCCTGGTTGGGAGCCTCTTCTCTGCATGTGATCTGAGCTGCACTGACCAAGGCTTTACTGGAGTGTCTATCTGTTCTTTACTATTGGGGCTAATAAGCCTTACAGAAACCAGAGGGCCAGGAAAGAGATTTTGAGACCTTCTAGGTTGTTCCTCTGAGGTCATATATGGGACGTGAACGCAGGTGTGTTTGATTGCAGAGTCTGGGATGTTAACACTCGATGGCAGCTTGATCCTGAGTGGTCAGTCACAGACTGCTGCCTGATCCTGGCTGTGTGGCCTGGACTCCATCCAGGAGCCCTTCTAAGCCTCAGCTTCCTTACCTCTAAAATGGGCATGTTATGAGGACTCCAGGAGGTGATTCCTCTAAAAGGCAGAACACAAGACAAGGCCATAATAAGTTAAAAAGAAAAGTTGTTCACTGTTACTGCATCCATATGTCTGTTTTTCTGTTAACCCTTCTGGTCTTTTCTCCTTCAGTCTTTTGTTCAGAGGCTTCTTCAGTGGACAGAATTATTAGATCCTACAAACTTGATCACTTCAATTGTAAGTTCTTGTTTTCAGAGATGGTGAATTTATTTTGAATTTGAAGATTGTGTGTGTGTGTGTTTTATTCCTTTCAAATGGGCTTGTTAGAGTGAAAGAGTGATAAGCATACATCTGGTTAGCAGGGACTAGCACGCCTGCATCTGGGGTCAGAAAGTCGGAAAGAATCAAGACTATCTTTCTGTGTAGCAGGACAGGCAGCCAGAGCCAGTCAGCAGCCTTGACCGAGGCCCCAAGGGAACAGGCCGCTGTGTCTGGGTAGGTGAGAGAAGGCTGGCGTGGGAGCCAGTGGGGCAGAACTGTCAGCAAGGGGCTGTCAGCAAAGCCCAGGGCAGAAGGCCAGATAGCACCAGGCCTTTGATGCAAGAAGAGGATCTTGCAGGACTTTGTGTGTGACTGAATTGAGCAGGGTTGGCATTTGTCCTCTGAGGCCAAGTATGAGGGTTTGGTTTCTGTGTGGTGACAGCCAGAAGGATCAGTATGAGGGCAAGGCCGTTCTGAGGATGGCTCGTCATCCCAATGAAAGATGAGGGTTTGAACCAGCGTCACTGGGCATGAAGAGGAGATGCCCTGTCACCAATAATAACCCTTCAGGGTATGACACTAAGGGAGACTTGCATATTCATGCTCAAGATGTTTCTTACAGTTTTATTATAAAAGCCAGAAACTACCTGAGTGCCCATCAGCACGAAAATAGATAATGTAGCATATCCTTTCAGGGTCACGCCCAATAGCCATTTAAAGTGATGAACTTGTTACTTGTGTGTGTGTGTGTCTTTTTTTGGTGCTGGGGATCAAACCCAAGGCCTTGCACATGCTAGGCAAACACTTTACCACTGAGCCACACCCCCAGCCCTATGTTTTTCCATTTAACATTGTATATATTCTAAGTTTCCACTTAAGTGAAACACTGAGGCCTGAGGATGTAGCTCATTGGTTGAGTGCTTATCTGGTAGGTACAAGGCCTTGGGTTTGACTAGATACATACACATACACACACATACACAAAAAACAAAACAAAACAAAACATGATGTCCAAAGTTTTGTGGAAAAAGCAAGATGCAGAAAGTATATGCTATCTATTTGTTAATGGATACATGTGTTTGTGTATATGTAAGTATAAAAATAGGGACTGGAAAGGTATACCTGAACCTGAACTCATAATGGTGGTTTCCTCTGATAGGATGGGGAGGGATGAGATGGGGCTGGTGGGGGTAGTGGTAGTGATAGCAGGGAATAATTGGTTTTGAAAAATAAAATGAAAGCAAATATAACCGAATGTTTCACAGTTACTACTTCTAAGGGGATTAGAGTAGGCAGTCACACTAAGATTATATTGTCCTTTGTATTTGATTTTCTTTCTCAGATTAAGAAAAGTTCAGGGAATTGAACTGATTAGACCTGTGGCAGGTAAGACAGGAGGGACTGCCAGTGTTCTAATTTGTGCATCCAGGAAGGTAGTTAATGTCAACAAGCTGGGAAATTGGCCGCACCAGCGGGGCCGAAGGTTTAAATCTGAGTGACATGTGGGACCATCCTAATGGAAAATTTCAGGGTAGAGAGCCTCAGTCTGCACACTGAAATCAGGTGTGCAGCTAAAATACTGATGACTGCTCCGCTTGTGCTGGTGAGTAAAAATCTGAACAGTATTGAGATGACTGATTTCTTGGTACTTGATTACAGGAAAAAATAGAAAAATCAAGGCAACTGCTGTTTACCAGTGAAGATGCATACAGATTCGACGTGGATGACCAGAGGGTATGTCCCATGTGCTCAGCTGTGCCCAGTTGCCTTTAGGTGGTTCCATTGTGCATGGTGTGAAATCAGGTGGCATTTTGGCCATCAGTCTTGTCACTGTACATACTACCTAGGGATCAGCCTTGCAAAACTGGGTTAGTTTATTAAATTTAGTTAGAATTCCATCTCATAAACCACATAGAACTGGGCATGTTACAATCCCAGTGTCTCTGGAGGCTGAGGCAGGAGAATTATAAGTTCAAGGCCAGCCTCAGCAACTTAGCAAGACCCTGTCTCTAAATAAAATTAAAAGGACTGAGGATACAACTTAATGCTAAAACACCTCTGGGTCAATCTCCAGTATGAAAAAAAAGGCTATTGCTTGTTTTTTTTTTTTTCTTTTTAGATTAAAAATGCTTGGAAAAGAAGCCTCGTAAGTTTCAGCTCCTTTCTAGTTTTTAGTCTCCTAAAATCACAAAACTAAACCTCCAACTAACCTTTGCATCTGTCCTTTGAAGTCAACCGTGCATCCTGACAGCAGCAGGCTGATACCCATTCTTTTCCGACCTGCAGGTGAGCTGGTTCTCATTTCAGAAGTGGGTTGGGAAGGGCTGGAGTTGTAGCTCATTGATAGAGCACTTGCCTGGAACATGTGAGACCCTGGGTTCGATCCTCAGCACCACATTAAAAAAAATAAATAAAAATAAAGATATTGTGTCTATCTAAAACTAAAAGAAGAAGAAGAAGTGTGTTGGGAAGATATGATTTGCAGAAAACCCTGCCTGCTTTATTTATTTATTTTATTTTTTGTGGTACTGGGGATTGAACCCACTCGACTGCTCAAGCTACATCCCTTTTATTTTTTGAGACAGGGTCTTGCTAAATTGTGAGTCCTGTGGAGCAGGACTGCTCACCTCGTGGTAGCTGTGAGCAAAAGAGAAAAGAAGAGACTGGGGTCCCACAGTCCCCTCTGAGGGGAACTTAGAATCCTCCTGCCTCAGTCTCCTGAGTCTCTGGGATTATAGCCTGTGCCACCTTGCCTGAGTGCATGCTCTATTTTATTCTACTTTTTCCCTAAAGGGATTTCTGTGGAAATTCTGGAAGCCACAGCTTCAAAAGAATATTTGAAAGGTCTGGTGTTGACAGTGAAGAGCAGGCTCAGGACCCAGAGCTGATTCAGTCCTGTGGAAAGATCTGGGCTTTTGGAACAAGTACCAGGCCTGTGGGTAAATCTCACCCTGCATCCTCAGGCCCCGGGAGCAAGCCAGGATGCAGCTTGTCAAAGCTGGATCAGAGCTGGCCTCTTGTAAGGACTACTTATAAGCCAGCCTCAGCAATATAGCAAGGCCCTCAGCAATTCAGTGAGACTCTGTCTCAAAAAATAAAAAGGGCTGGGGATGTGGCTCGGCAGTTAAGTACCCTGGGTTTAATCCCCAGTACAAAAAAAAAAAGCATTAAGGGGGGAAAACTTAGCATCAGGTAGTGCATAGTCACCCTGTGTGGATGGTAAGGCCATCTGTAAGCGGGGCTTTGTGGACATCCTGAGAGACCATCCCAGACTTCACCTGCAAGGTGATAAGTGTGTACACTGCTGGCCTTCAGGGAGAGGGCCTGGGAGGGCTGGTGGCAGCCCTCTGCTTAGGTCTTTCTATACTGTGCTGTTTTAACTTTCTGCCATGTGCACATGGTTGTTATTTTTATTGTGGGATGGGGGGTATAAATCGTTCCCTGAGGCCTGAGCCCTGGGGAGGCTGGAGAAGGGCCTTAGGGAGCGGCACCCTGGAGGCCACCTCTGCCTTAGCAGCCATGGTCACTGATGCTCTGCTCTTCTCTGCCAGCTTTCCTGCCTTTGACGGTGCCCACGGTGAGTAAGCCGTCATTCACTATAAGGTTTGGGAGGATGTGAACTGTCTCTTGACCTTGGCCACGTCTCCCAGTGCTGGATCCTTGTCCTGGGCCTTCCTGAAACATGATGGCCATGGACCCCACCTGTGGCCTTTGTTGCTGTTCCTATATCGGCAACCCCCACCCCACTTACCAGTGAGGCCTCAGGCTTCTCAAAGGCCCATGTCACCAAGGTGTCCTTTTTCTGGTCTCTTACTATACAAAGCACCATAGAGGAGGCCCGCGAGTTAAGATGTGCAACTAGTCACAGGTTTCCTGTGATTGTCTGTTACCTCCTGTGTCAGTCAGCTCTCCGTCACTAGAACAAATACCTGAGATAGTCAGTCAGCTTATGAAAAGAAAAGATGTACTTTGGCTTTGAAGGTCTTGGGCCATGATTAGTTGCCACTTTGCTCCTGGGCCTGGGGCAGCACACCACTGTGGAAGTGTGGGGGGAGCAGGACTGCTCACCTCGTGGCACTGTGAGCAAAAGAGAAAAAGAAGAGACTGGGGTCCCACAGTCCTCTCTGAGGTCATGCCCCCAGTCACACAAAGACCTCATGCCAGGCCCACCTCTTCATGCCACAACCTCCTAGTGTCACCAAGCCTTTAACACACACAGTTACAGCCCCTCTGGGAAACATTCAGGTCTAAACTAATAGCACCTTTTTTCCCCAAGTCCCCCCACCACCCCCAAAGGGCTTCTCAGCTGGGACACTGAACTCCCTTCCAGGAACGTCCTCCCACTGGGAGGTGCTCTTTGTCACGTCCCTGGGTGGTCACTGCGCCACACCTGCCCCCTGTTTGCCTCCCTTGGCAAGTACGTGGACCTGCAGGAGCTCCCAGTGTCCTCGGAGCCTTTGGTTCAGGGCCTGCTGGGTGCTCGCTCGCCCATCCGGGCTTGTCCACTGGCAGTCATGCATCTGCCACCCTCCTGCTGTCCCAGCCCCTGGGGGACGCAGTGCTGCGGCTCCCTTGGGAAGTCCTGTGCTGCTGCCAGCTCTGCCTCCTCCAGACACGTGCGACTCTGCTCCATTTTCTTCTCCAAGGTATTTTTGTCAATGATGCCAGCAAAAGGGATGAAGTCCATGATTTTACCCCAGGTAGTATCTCCTCCTGTCTCCCGGTATTGGGTTCTGTTGTGCTTGAAACCAGGCTAAGGCCCACTTGCCTTTCATTCTGCAGGTTTCCTTATATGCCTACACCACAGGGTTCACCATGGTCAATGGAAACGCAAGTTATGTGAGTGTCCTGAAACCCAGAAGAGACGTGATTTGAGGTTATTTCTTTTGGAGGTTTTTTTTCTTTTGTCTGTGTGTGTGGTTTGGGTTTCTTAAGTTATTCTTGCTGGGCAAAACTGTGCATTTGCTAACTATGTACTTCTCTTTTCCCTAAGAGTCACAGTCTACCAGCAAAAATATTATTAGGAGCAGGAGTAATTGCTTCTTCGACCTTCTTTGGGGTAGGTATTTTTATAACCTGTCAAATCTTTTTTATTCCTCAGAATCAAAAAAGCTTTATTCTGATTATAAATTTATATTCTAACCTAAACGACTTGAGAAGTGTGAATAGGAAAGTGACTGTGGGCCTGTCACCTCAAAATCAGGACCCTGAATTTCTAGGCATGCCCAGTGTGCCCTTTGGGTTCACATTTGTGGATTCAACCAACTGTGGATTGAAAGTATTTAAAAAAAAATGTGTCTGAACTGAACATATACAAATGCTTTTTTTCTTCTTGTCATTATTCCTTAAACAATGCAGTATAATAGTTATTTACGTCACATTTACCTTGTATTAGGCATTATAAGAAATCCGGAGATGATTTAGAGTATGTTTATGGGAGGATAGGGATAGGTTATATGCAAATAATATGTCATTTTATATAAGGGACTGGAGAAGCCTCTGATTTTGACATCCCGGGTGAGTCTTGGAACTAATCCCCTATGGATACTGAGGGATGACTGTACTTAGTACTATTATCTTTTAAAAAATTAACTTATGCTGCACAGATGTCTTGTTCAAGTTATGTGTTGCTTTGAATGCCCAGACACTGAAATGGTTAAAAATGTGGACTAGAGTCAGACAAGCCTGAATTCCCATCCTTGCTCAAGCCCTTCGCAGCTCTCTGACTCTGGACGAAGTATATAAGCTAAGCAAGCCCTCACCTACTCCTGGAATGAACAAGGATAACACCTCAGTGTCGCAAGAATTCAAACAAGTGAAAATGCTGGGAGTGTAGCTCAGTGGTAGAGCACTTACCTAGCACATGCAAGGCCCTGGGTGCAGTCCCCAGCACCATTAAAAGAAAAAAAAAATGCATGTGCTCACTGGCCACCATCTGCCCTGGGACTAGGTCAGTGTTTTAGCTTTGCTTTTAGGTGTGTTTGGCTGATTTTTTTGTTTCCGTGCAATAGGATCTTTCTCTCTTTCTAGTTAATTCCACATTTGGTACAAATGAAGTATCATCTGGATAACGCTTGGATCAAAAGAGCCTTACCGATTGTCTTTCTTGGTGAGTTATAAGGGCTGGGCACATGCAGTTCTGCTTGTTGTTGTGGGCTCTGAGTTTTCCTCTGTCTCCAGAGACCCTGGCCCCCTTGGCCACATTGAGACTGATGGCCCCCACCATCTGCAGCCAGGGCCTCAAGCCCAGATGGGGTCTGTGGTTTGAGAGATGGCACTTTCTCTGTAGATACCCTTTTAATTCAGAGGACAAACACAAGCCTGGAAACACAAATACATTTTTTTTTCTTCAGTTCTAGGGATCAAACCTAGAGCCACATGCATGCTAGGCGAGTACTCTACCATGGAGCTGACCCTCAGCCCCCACGTACCACGTTCTAAAGACTATCTGCACAAACCCTCTATTTCCACCTCTTCACTTAATCCTGATAGCAACTTATGGGTAGGAAATATTCTTCCCACTTACAGGTGAAGAGACTGAGGCACAGGGAGATTAAGTCACTTGCTGAGGGTCACACAGCAAGCAAGCACTAGTATAGGAATTCCAACCTAGCGATCAGACTCCAGAGGGGGTGGCAGAGGTATTCACTGAATATTTTGTGTTCACCAGCCTGTAAGTTCACTAGTTCATGTTCCACATTTGGGTTTGGGAATCAAAGCAGTTTGAAGAGTTGGCAGAATGACATCATTGGGAAAATTATGTTACAAAAGCCTAAGTGGTCGGCTGGGCCTGTGGGAGGTGACCATTTGAGGGTCAGGAGGAAAGCAACTGTCCAAGAAGGGCCTGAAATGGACACAGCCCTTTAAAGATGTCCTTTTTCTGGGCTGAAACTCTTCCTTTGGTTTCATGTTCTTTTCCTAACATCCACAGCACAAGTCAGTGGAATGAATGTTTTTGCTTCTCGGAGTTTGGAGCCTGTCCGAGGGATTGAGGTCATGGACAAGGATGGCAAAGTCATAGGACGTTCCAGAAGAGCTGGGAGAAAGGTACGGGGGCGTTGGAGCTCAGCTGCTGGCCCTTTGGGCAGAGTTGGATTTTCTGTTTCCTCTTTTCTTGTTCCCATCCCCCACCTCATGCCACCAAGAGTCTCTGCATTTTACACCCTGAAGTTTAGAAGATGGCACACTGGTTTAGACAGTGCTTCCGTCTTGAGGCAGTTTCTTCTTTGGGAAACCAGTTTTTGCCCTTAAGGTCTTTAACAGTCATCCACATTATGGAGTAGGGTCTTCTCCCTTGTGTCAACAGATTGTAGATGTGAACATATCCCATAGCAAAACACCCCACATCAGCAGCTTGGTTAATGTTTGGTTCAATAACTGGGTACTTTTGCCAAGCTGGTCCATAAGTCTGACCATCATGGGGGGCATCGTATGAGCTAGGGTGAGGCCTCCTTCTTCCGTTTAGTATCCATCCTTCCAGCGTGTGCTGCCTGGGGCCCTCTTGGAGACCACCCACTCCCAGCCTGCCCTGCCCTCCTGCTCTCTGTCTACCTCACAGCAGATTTCTCTAACATCTTCGTCTGTAGAGACCAGTGTGTTGTCAAGGATGGACCTGGGAAAGAAATCCAGTCCTCTGAAGTCAAACTCATTTAAATGTCCTCAGTTATTAATCATTTTTAACATTAGTTTATTCTTTTGTTCAACTCAGCAAGTAGCCTCCATGTGTGTTTCATTTATAAGAAACTAGAATGGTCTATGGTAGTTTCATTTTGGATAGGGACTTTTAAAATTATATACACACATATACATATATGCCCATATTTATACATATACATATGCATGTTTATATACACAGATGTATGTATATGTGTGCTTAAATACGTATAAATACATTACATGTATGTATAAATATGCATATAGATTTTTTTTTTCTTTTTTTTTTTTCAATACTGGGAATTGACCCTAGGGCCTTGTGCATGCTTGATTTTCCACTCAGTTTTAACTTCCAGGTGGTGGTATTGCCTTGAGCCATTCATACAGCTGAAGAGCGAGAGCCAGTGGTAATCAGCACATGGCCGCCTAGCTCTTCTGCTTGCCTGGCACTGCTGGGCTCTGGAGACCCAAGTCCTTATCAGTGAGAACCTCTGCTTCCAGGAGAACCCACCCAGGCTCCCAAGGGCAGGGAGCTCAGGCCTGACAGACACTGAGTCTGTCTCACCAGCAGAAATTTCATTTCTTAAGAATAGTGTCTGCCACTGTGCGTAAGCGTAAGCAGTCTTCTGTGTTTCCCTGTCACTGAGAGGCTTATTTTGTTTGGCTAAAATTTCAGAAACTGTGTAACCAGCAATATCTGATTGTAATAAGGCACCTGGGGTCAGATTTCAGGAGGTCGGTCCCAGTTGTTCCCCCGCTGGCCTTGTAAGCTACTCACTTGCAAACAGGGGTGAGTCTACCCATGATGGGCATCTTGTTTGGAATGTCCTTCTGTTTTGCACACAGGACAGGTGGACAGAGGCATCTTGCCCACCAGCGTGGAAACGCCATGCTCAGCAGCCCCTGTTCTTTTCCTGAAGCCAAAGGATTTTACTTCATGTTCTTGAAACTTATTTTAAAAATTACCCTCTCAGCTCCTTCTGATCTTGGGTGGGGAAGGGCCATCCCTGCCCAGGGACGCCTGGAGCCCAGTGTGGGTGTGTGTTGGTACGGTCTGTGGGTGGTGGTATGAGCAGAGGGCAGGCCGCAGGCCCCAGGAGAGGAGCCTGGGAAGGTAGGTTGTAGCCAAGTCTTGGAAAACAGCAAGGGGAGGAAGGAGCGCAGGGAAGGCGGGAAAGGTGTGCCTGTACGTTTTTTTGGTGGTACTAGGGGTGGAAGCCAGGGCCTCACACATGCTAAACAAGTGTCCTTCCACTGAGCCATGTCCCCAGCCCTTGCCTGTTCTTGAGCACAGGAGAGTGCTGCTTGTCTGCTCAGGGGCTGGCTCTGAAGTTAACATGTGAAAGCTAGGCACAACAACATAGTCCTGACTCAGGAGGCTGAGGCAGGAGGATCACAGGTTTGAGACCAGCCATTTTAAAAAATAATAAGGGCTAATGCAGCTCAGTGGCAAAGCTCCCCTGGGTTCAATCCCTGGTACCAAAAAAATAAATAAAGTTAACATGTGAACCATTTTATAGTCAGATATTCTCTTCAGAGTCCCTAAAATTGCACTCAAGAATTCATGGTCTTGTGCTTATAATCCATACAATTATACCATTAAGTGTTTAACATATGGAATTTTTTTTTTTTTTGTACCAGGGATTGAACCCATGAGTGCTTAACCACTGGGCGACATCCCCAGCCTTTTTTATTTATTTTTTAAATTTTGAGACAGGGTCTTGCTAAGTTGCTTAGGATCTCTTTAAAATTGCTGGGACTGACCTTGAACTTGTGAGCCTCCTGCCTCAGCCTCCTGGGTTGCTGGGATTACAGGCGTGCACCACTGCACCTGACTTAATATATGGAATTTAATGTTTAATATTTAACACATGGAGCAAGATACAGTAGAGAAAAAAAGATGATACTTTAAAAAAAATTTTTCCCCATTGTTCTGGGTGTGAAAGCCAGGGTCACATGCATGTTGGCAAGCCTCTACCACTGAGCTGCCCCCTGGTCCTGTAGAACACTTTATATCCCACAGGTGAGGGCTGGGTCCTGACATTTGGTCTTGAGAGGGGCGGTGCTGTAGCAGCATACTCAGCTGGGCTTCTGCTGACATCCCCATGGGTAGGGAGGAACCCCTGGGGAGCAGGTCCAGGTCCAGGCTATGAGGCAGAGACCTGGGTTGAGAGGAAAATACACCATGGACAGAAGGGGCAGATCCAAGGTTTCCTCCAGCGAGGCTGCCATCTGGTTCTGAGGCTTTGTCTGGAAGCTGCCTTGGTTCCTACGTGGTGGGAGCTCATTTTGGTGGTTCTGTGGCCTGATGGACACATTTGTGGATTTGGGGAGGTAAATCCTCTTTTACTCCTCCTGGCGCCATCTCTGCCGTCCTGCTGCGCCTGGCCTGGAGAGGACAGTGAAAGTGTCACTCACTTATTTCCAGTGCCTTCTTTTTCTGGGTGGGAAAGGGAGTTGTGTTGGCTCATCTCTGTCACAAGACCTTTCATTTCACTCGGTGTTCTGAGCTGTTCTCTTTGCATCTTTATCAGGCTGTTAGAGAAACAGCAGTCTCCAGGGCAGTGCTGTTTGGGACCTCGGCTTTTATTCCTGAAGTCTTCACCTACTTTTTTAAAAGGTAAGAGGGGCTGGGCACAGTGGCACATGCCTGTAATCTCAGCAGCTCAGGGGGCTGAGGCAGGAGGATCCCAAGTTCAAAGCCAGCCTTAGCAACTTAGCGAGGCCCCAAGCAATTTAGTGAGACCCTGTCTCAAAATAAAAAATAAAAAAGGCTGGGATGTGGCTCAGTGGTTAAGTATCCCTGGGTTCAATTCCTGGTACCAAAAAGAAACAAGGTAAGAGGGACATTCATCTCCCCAAGTAGAAATAACATTTTGAAGGTCAAACCCCTTATAAAACTTCTCTGATACTCAGACTAGAGGGAGAGTGGGAGGAGGGGGCTTCAGTGAACTTCCTGCTAAGCACCTCTCAGAGTTAAGATGATTGATCAGGGGAGGTGTGGAAATCCAGAGATGCACATTGCAGCAATCCTGGAAGCTAGCCCAGGCCCTGCCCTGAGTCTGCTCTGTGTCCTTGGGCATGTCAGAGAACTCTCTGAGCCACATTCCTTTACTTCTAGAATGATAGATTTGGATGATTTGCAGGTTTGCCCAGCTCTGATGTGCTATGAACTTTGCTCAAGCTCCCCTCTGCCCCAACTGAGCAGGTTTTAAATGAGCTTGAGAGCCAGGCATGGTGGCACATTCCTATAATCCCAGAGACCTGGAGGCTGAGGCAGGAGGGTACAGCCTCCATCAGACCCTGATCTCAGACCATTGTGCTGGGGTTCTATGCGTGTTATACTGTCTTACACTCTCCCAAGGTCAAGGTCAGTGTCACATCCTTGTCTGGACCAATGGAGGTTCTGGAGTCTGACCTTTTGTGCTGTAGGGCTTGGGGCAGGTTGCTTTACCTGAACAAAAACCAGTGCTTCTGTTTCCTCATTTCTGTGGAGGGGTTGGTGACCACACAGACCTCCCAGGCTATGGGGTCGGATGAGCAAGGGCAGGAGCACTCATCTCCTAGTGCTGCTGCATGTTGAGCTGCCAGTGTGGCTGCTTCACCGCCTGGTAACCAAGGCCTGGGATTGCAGCTACATAGGAGGCGGGATTAGCCACCATGAGAGTAGGCCAGCCCCAAAATACTTAGTAAAATTTGTGAGCTTTACCTGGTGTCTTCTAGAACCCAGTTTTTCCTGCAAAATCCACAATCCTTATGGACCCTAAAACTGTCCTGTACTCTCCTGGTGATGGGGGTGATGGTGCCCGTGTCTTTCAGTATGTTTCCACAAATTGGACAGGTAAGTCTCCTGTCTCTGATTTCTTCTCAGAGGGAAAATGTGATTTTTATTTCATGATCATGAGAGTAATATAAATTATTATTTTTTAAATACAAACTTTATCAAAGTATAAAACAAAATAATATTTAGACATAATTCCATTTCCCAAATATCTTGTCGTTTTGAATTCTGTCTTTTTTAAAAATATTTTTAGTTTTAGATGGACATAGTGGCTTTATTTTGTTTATTTATTTATTTATGTGGTGCTGAGGATCAAACCCAGTGCCTCACATGTGCTAGGCAAGCCGTCTACTACTGAGCCACAACAGTAGCCCTGGATTCTATTTTTCTTTTCTTTTCTTTTTTTTTTTAATATTTTATTTACATTTTAGTTTTTGGCGGACACAACATCTTTATTTGTACATGGTGCTGAGGATCGAACCCGGGCCGCACCCATGCCAGGGGAGTGCGCTACCGCTTGAGCCACATCCCCAGCCCCAAGGATTCTGTTTTTCTTAACAGTATATCATAAATAGTTTTCTGGAATATTAAAAAAAAAAAACTCTAAAAGGTATTAAAGAATTTTTAAATTCTCCATATTTCACAGCACTTCCCCATCCATCACAACTTCTGCAGTAGTGGACACAGTCCCTGTCTACACCAATGTGATGACCACTAGACACATGTGTCTTCCGAGCACTTGAAATGTGGCTAGTGTGACTAAGGGACTGAATTTTATTACTCTGATTAATTAATTAATTTTGTAGTGCTGGGGACAGAATCTAGGGCTCCACACATGCTAGGGAAGTGTTCTACCCCCAGGCAACATCCTCTGCCCAAGAATATTAAATTTAATTTTAACTTATGTGCTCACATGTAGCTAGTGGCTACTGTGATAGCACAGTTCTAGAGACAGTTTATAATATATTGTAATTTAATTTGTAATGACTGCTTGGATTCAAATTCCCAGCTTTTCCATTATCTTGGTCAATTTTCTGTTTCCTTATCTATTGAAGAGAGTCCAAGGTAATAGAAATAGTGTCTCAGAAAAGGGTTGTTCTTTATATATTTATTCTGTACCTATTTAAAATTCTGCTGCTGGGGAAGAAGAGAACAGACATTGGGGGACAGGTAATCGTCTCTCACGGGTATTTTCAGGAAGGATAGTGGGTTGAGTGTGGAAATCTCAAGAGACCAGAGGCAGGAAGTGGAGTCCATCTCCAGGTGTGGCCCCAAGCACCAAGATCTGCTGGACCTTGAAAATACCTGCCCCCAACAATATCAACAACAAAAAGCTCCCTTTTCTGGGTGTGAGAGGTGCTCAAGGAAGTAAGACCAGCAGCTTGTGAATGGTTGTTGCTGAGTGGGTATGGAGGTACCTAATGCCTGTCCTGGGCTATTGGGGATCCTTACCTCCCTGTCCCATCTTGGGTGACCAGCTGCATTCACAGAAGCCCAAGGATGGGAGGGGTTCAGCGCCCAGGGCATCTCAGGAAGGCCAGAGGCTGCATTGCCTTCTAGAACTGGCCAGGGAGTTTGTCCCTCCAGAGCTTTGCTGGCTACCACCTATAGTCTCATGGGCCTAGAGATGGGTATTGGATGGTGTGAAGGGATAGCTGTTCATTTTGTTAGGTGTGATAATAGCACAATAGTTCTATAACTACATGGAAAAGTTTTTTAATCATTTGAAATTTCATACTGAAGTATTTGTAAGTAAAATGGTACATCTGAGAATTCCCTCAAAATACTCAAGAAAATCCAGGCATGGTTGTGCACACCTGTGATCCTAGCAACCCAGGAGGCTGAGGAAGGAGGATGGTAAGTTCAACGCCAGGCTTAGCAACTTTGTGAGATCCTATTTCAAAATAAAAAACAAAAAGGGCTGGGGATGTGACTCAGAGGTTAAGTGCCCCTGGTAACCGTGCCCCCAACAACAATATCAACAACAAAAAGCTCCCATTTCTGGGTGTGGGAGGTGCTCAAGGAAGAAAGACCAGCAGCTTGTGAATGGTTGTTGCTGAGTGATAAGCACATGAAGGACCATTATATTCTTTCTACATTTTTTGGTTGGTTGTTTTATCGTACCAGAGATGTTTAACCACCGAGCCACATTCCTAGCCTTTTTCTTTTCTTTTTAATATTTATTTTTCAGTTGTAGTTAGACATAATAACTTTATTTATTTATTTATTTTCATGTGGTACTGAGGACCAAATCCATGACCTTGTACATGCTAGGCAAGCACTCTACTGCTGAGCTACAACCCCTCATTTTTTAAAAAAATACTTTGTTATAGATGGCACAATACCTTTATTTTATTTATTTATATTTACGTGGTGCTGAGGATTAACAGGGCCTCACACATGCTAGGCAAGTGCTCTACCACTGACCACAACCCCAACCCCCCTTTTCATTTTTTTTTTTTTTTTAATTTTTTTTATTGGTTGTTCAAAACATTATAAAGCTCTTGACATATCATATCCCCTTTTCATTTTTTGAGACAGGCTTTCACTAAGTTGCTTAGGGCCTCATTAAATTGCTGAGACTGGCTTTGAACTTGTGATCCTTCTGCCTCAGCTTCCCAAGCTACTGGGATTACAGCCTGCACCACTGCACCCCGTCTACATTTGTTTACAACTGAAATGTTCCATTAACAAGTTTTTAAGAAGTTAGGTGATCCTTTTTGCTATCGTTAGATATCACTGAAAGAGATGGACTGAGTGAAATGGTTACTCTCAGAAAATGCTTTTTAAAAACTTGATTTCTAAAGCAGAAGTCATGAGTGTAAATATTGAGGATTTAACTTTGTTTTTCAGATAAAGTACAGTAAACTTGAAGAGGAAATTCAGGCTTTGACAGAAGAAACAGAACTGTTCTATAACAGAGGGGTGTAGGCGCCAGTTATAAGTGATTCTGGCTCCTGCTTGAAGACCTCCCTGCCCTCCAGGTTTTAGTTCAGAAAACCCTGCCGAACGTCCCTGGGAACCCCTAGAAGCAGGATGGCTTTTAGGGACTTTGAGGCTGGTGGAAGAAGTGATAGGAGTGTGTCCTGACCAACGCCCCACGTGAGGCTGCTGATCAGCAGCAGCCTGTGAGAGGACTGTGCAACTACTAATGAACTTTGTCTAAAGTTGAATATTGAAACAGTACAATGAAGGGTGCACCTGGCCCAGGATGTGGGCATTAAAATGACATCTCATCTCCAGATAAGCGCAAGCAGCCCTGTTTCCCTCCTCGGCTCACTCCATCCTGGACAACCTGCAAGTCCTGCCATGCTGCCCACTGTGCTGTACCCGCTGCACACTGACAGGAGGCTCTCTGCCTCCTTCCACGGAAAACCAAGGATGTTGGCCAGCAGTGACCTCCTGGTTGGCGCCCAATTAGCAAACCTCCTCCACTCACACCCAGCCTGTCCATGTAAGGTTACCTGTCCCTAGGTTCTGGGCTCCTCCCTTTGGACCTCAGGGCCTTGCACTACAGCCTCTGCAGTCCCCTCTGGCCTCAGCCTCCCTCTCTGCTGGCTCCTCCCCAGGAGCATTTAAACTGCCTCATTAAAAAAGCAAAAGTCCATCCACAGTCAGTGCGCACTGCATCAGCCCAGCTTCCATTCTGCCGAGACTATTCTCACCAGTGCCACCCAAAGGCCTCACTGCCACCATGCTGGGCCCTCTGACAGTCCTGGTCCTGAGGCTCTTAGCCAGCTGCCTGCTGCACCTGGCTCTTGGGATGCCCATGGACTCCTCACACTGGCTGTGTGGACAGGAGCCCTGGTGGCCTTAACCCCCTTCCCCTCCCTCCTGATCAGCAGATTGGCCCATCTAGTCAAGAGTCCAGAACACTTCATGATCTCTGCTGCCAGCTAAGCTCAGTGCAGCAGTCCCCCCTGCTGGTGCTCCTCATCTGCTGCCCAGCTCCAGCCAGTCCATGCACAGCCTGCTTTTCTAAACCATGCCTGAGAAGCTACCCAGTGTGTCAAGTCCATGCCTTGCCATGCCCCACAGGAGCTTCTGCCTTACTCATCTCTCGCCATTCCCTCTCCTCATTGTTCCTCCATGGGCTCTGGTCTCCTCTGGGCCTTCACATAAGCTCTTCCCTCTGCTCTGGGCTTGGACAGTTGCTGCCTCCAGGAGGCTTCCAGAATTCACAGTGCTGAACTCTGTGTCCCTGCCTGGTGCTCCCATAGTGCCCCATGTTTCCTATGTGGGATTTAAGTCTGGCCACAATGAAGTACAACCTGTTGGCTGATCCTATTCCCCCCAGTAAGACTTCATGTGCCTGCAGAGCAGGGACTGTTGCTATCGGGGTAGCCCCAGGATATAGCCCAGGGCGTGGCACAGAGGTGTCCACACACTTGGGTACTGGAGCAATGTCTCCAAATGCCCTACCCAGACCACCAAAGAATGTTTCTGTGACTCACTTTTCCCTTGGTTAGAATAACAGTTATTTCCAAACTTAGTAAAAAGGAGTTTTACAGAAGGCTATAGAACAAAACCAGTAAAAATTACCTACTAGATGGCTCAGTCTGGCCACAGGCTTACTTTAAATTAAAGGTAGAGATCAAGATGGAAAAAAAGAGGTGGGTGCAGTGGCACATCCTGTAATCCCAGTTACCCAGAAGGCTGAGGCAGCAGGATCACAAGTTTAAGATCAGCTCGGGCAACTTTGTAACACCATGTCTCAAAAAGAGCTGGGGATGTAGATCCACGGTAGAGCACTTGCCTAGCATGTGTGAGGCTCTGGATTCAATCCCCAGTACTGGTCAGGGGTTAGGGTTGGGGGCACGCAGGGGGAATGGGCTGGGTGCAGTGGGTGGGGGATACAGGACAGTGGTAGAGCGCCCTGGGTTAAATCCCAGTGCACATACACAGGCAGATGATGGACAAAGGCTTAATGGAGGTTCAGCCACTTACAGATGAGCAAGTAGAAGCGTGAAGGCCTCTTCCCAGGACAGTTCTCTTGGAAGTTGGGGTGGAGTGGGGCAAGGCTGGGAGCCTCGCTGTAGCCTGGAGACTGCTTTACCTTCCAGACAACTCTTTTCATAACTCCTCAGTCCCTTAGCAATTGGAAAAGAGGATTTTTTTTTTCTCTTACTTGGAATGGGGAGAAAGAGAGAGAGCCATTTTAATTCTGCATCATAAATTTGTAATTTTAACAAGTTTGTTCATTAGCTAATACAATATTACCCCCCAAAAGGGGGGGGGGGTGTTAGTATTCATTTTCATAAAGTGCAGATTTAATTCTCAATCATTTGCCTCAGTAAACATCATCTCATTTCAGGTCCTCTCTGGCCCTGCCTAAGGAAGGAGGGGAAAAGGCTATTTTTGTTTTTACTTAACAATTGTCTAACACCCAGAAAAAAGAAAAAAAAAAAGAAAAATCCAATAGATTGTTTTGCAAACATGTTTCCAGGTAAGATTTCAAGGACAACAGTTTTGAGTAATCTTTCAAAATTAATATGAATATACATAACAAAATAACAAGTATATAATTTCGACCTCTAGGCTTATTTGGCAATTTTAAGTTCTCCAGTTATGAAGGTATACAACTGAACAAGAACGGTCACCTTGATCTGTAGCCAAATTATTTTTACTGAAGTCATTTGGAGACATTCTCTTTGTTTTGGCCCCTGTAAGAAGCTGATTCTCATATTCCTTTACCAATTATTAAAAAAAAAAAAAATCACTGTTTCAGTCCTAAGACACTAATACTCAAGATGGGTTATTTGCTCTACCATATAAGGACTGGCATCTCCTCTGAAGACTAGTGCTAGCACAGGGTTAGCTGCAGAGGTCTAATGGCTCAGCTGCCCAACAGTCACTTCTGTGGGAGTATAAATATGGATTATTAAAGTATAAAATCTATGCAAAACCCTCATAATATAGGCAAAATGTTCAAAGGCCAAGAAAAAAATGTTTTCTTTTATAAGAAAGTACAACTGCAGGGTCTCTTGAATGCTCTTTTAGACAGTTCTGCAGAAAACTTAGCAGTTTGGCTCAGAAAGAAGAGTTCCTTGTGAGGAATGAAAATTCTTCCTAGAATTACAAAAGCAAAATTTCAGGCAGCTTTCTGGTAACAAACTGTTAGTTTATGGTACATGATGAGACACATGGGAACTAATAATGAAGGCTTTTGCGTCAGCTGTGATTTGCCCAAGGACAGAGCTTCCCCTCACTCCAGGACACTGGGCAGAGGCATTCCTCACATGGAATAGTTACAGACAGCACTTTGTCAGACGCTGACAGTAGGCAGGAAACTAATAGCTGGGAGAAAAATCACAAGTGTTTTCATGTGTTTCAGTGTTTTTCAGGTCAAATCTCAATAGTTTCAAATAAATCACTGAAAATATAGCATTTCCTCTTATCTCCAGTATTTTCCACAGTCAACGGATAATCAAAGTGGAAGGAGAGCTTTCCAGCAGTCACCAGCGCACATCCTATCTCACAGTCAGAGTTTCAGCATTTGTTCGGCTGCTGCTAGGTGGTAAAGGAAATTCTCTGTTGCTGGTGGAAATCTTTTCTGCTTGAGCGCCTCCAAATTGAGGACTCGTTTTCCTCCATCACCCAAAACTTCAGAAAATGGTGCTAGGTTGGTGAAGATTTCTTTTGTTTTTAGGGCAATATCCTTTACAATAGAATAGGAAAATAAGCAAAGTGTTAGTATGTAAAAGGTTCAACAGTTATTCCCTAGAATTCTTCCTGCTATTTTATAATTTATCAAACTAACTTTATACATTATGAAACAAAATGACTTAGAAAAATATCATTGATTCTTTTAACCATTTTTAAGTATACACTGCAAGAGTGCTAAGTTTATTCACCATGATGCACAACCATTACCACTATTTCTAGAAATTTTCCACTATCCCAATCAGAAATTCCATCCCTATCGACAATAACCCTCCTCCTCTCTCCTCTCCTCCCCTCAGAACACTGTGGAGCTCTATTCTGCTTCTTCTAGCGAACTGCTATTCTAGGTACCTCATCTGTCCTTTTGCGAATGGCTTATTTCACTTAGCATAACATCATGATGTCCTCAAGGTTCATTTGCAATGCAGCATGTGTTAGATCTTCATTCTTTCTGAAGCTGAATAATACTCAATTGTATTTATGTGCCACCTGTTGTCTCCCCATTCATCTGTTGGTGGGCACCTGGGCTGTTTCCACCTTGTGTAGATTATGAGTAATGCTGCCGTGAACACTGGTGTACAGACACCTGTTTGAGTCCCTGCTTTCATTTCTTTTGGGTATATTCCTAGAAGTGCATTGCTGAATCACAGTCATTCTATGTTGATTATTTTTTGAATATATCTCTTCTCAGTAGCCCTCTTTGCCAGGGACAAATAACCCAGCACCTGCCATGGGCTTTCCTCCTGTTCACTGACACTCCTCTGAGGGCTGAGGACTTGCTGAAGCTCCTGTTACAATCATGCCTTTTCCTGGTTTGCTGACATCACTAACTCAATTGTATTTCAGAATTTACAACATACTGTGCCTTCACTTTCCCTCCCTGAGGTCTCACACTTTATACTGAAGTCATCTAAGTATCACTTTTTTTTGTTTTTTGGGATGCTAGGGATTGAATTCAGGTGCATGCTACCACTGAGCCACACCCCAGCCCTATTTTGTATTTTATTTAGAGATAGCGTCTCACTGAGTTTCTTAGCACCTTGCTTTTGCTAAGACTGGCTTTGAACTCCCAATCCTCCTGCCTCAGCCTCCTGAGCTGCTGGGATTACAGGGATGCGCCACCGCACCTGGCTTATGTATCACTTTTAGTCCATGAAAAATAATCCAAATCCAAATATCCCAAACTCAAATTTATATAATAGTGTTTTTTACTGTCATGTTGATGGGGACAGTGCCAATTCACATGGTAGGAAAGAAGCATCGGCAGATTGTCTCATGACCTTGGAACAAGACCTGTCCACTCTTCCTGGCCACATCCGGACAGGCCGCCAGCACTGATCAGAAGAACAGGGCTGTTGGCAAGTCCCTGCCAAATCCTGTGGCCCCTCATGTCCTGCTCAGAGGGCTGTCTTATCCCCTCGGCCACCTCAACACAGTATTTACTAAGCTTCACAATCATCCTGTTGTGTATTCGTTTTTACTCATCTGCTCCACTAAAATACAGGCTCTGTGAGGGCAGGGGCTCTGCTCACCACCGTGTCTATGCTATTCACTGCTTGATGAGTACTGTCTGGGTAAATAGATATGTGAAGAAGTGTGCCAGGTGGGATGAGGCGAGTACAGCCTGATTACCAAAGGTGCCCCCAGGTGCCTCAGATGCAGACAAAGGGAGACAGTCTTTCTAGGCTCCCCAGTCCCAGGGTCTAAGACAGGTTCCGGAGCAGGCACTGGAAGAGGGCAGGCCGTATTCCTCAGGAGAGGAGCAAGGAGCTGGGAACAGGCCAAATACAAAGGGGTTGCAGGCTAGGGGGAGGAGACTAGGCAATACAAGAGAAGTGGGACTCTGGCACCATGTGGAAAGGCCCCAGAAACATAAGCACTTGCTATCCCATTCTGGCAAGGGCAGAGGAGAGGGTGCCAACTGGTGCACATGGACAGTGGTCAGCTTGACAGGCAGACCCCAAAGAGGAGTTGTCTGTGCAGCGTGTGACGGCAGCCTTGACTCCACGACTACTGCTGTTCTAAAGACAATATGGCAAAGCTAACTCCTAGCATCTGTCTAGTTCCCTGCTCAGCAGCACTCAACAATCTGTTCCTCTATGAAAATTCCCCTAGGAGGAGAAAAATGTACTGGCCAGCCCAAAATGCATTCCAGTCTGCTTGGCTGTTCACTTCTTACCACCAGTGGTCGGCATCAGCACCAGCCCCTACAAGACCTTTCCCCGGAGCCTAATAAACTGACCAGGCCACAGTAGTCACCCCTGCCCACCCATCATCACCACGGCCATGCTGCAAACCCCCACCTGAGCCCTTGCTGCTGGCCTGACCCCCGGTACATCACTCTGCTACTGTGCACAGCACAGAACAAGCTGGATGTGCCACTCAACAAGGCTGCTGGGAACTTCTAGTGAATAAGCAGGTCAAAGAGTCACCTGTATAACCTGGCTGTCTGACTTCTCTGGATCCTCTGCAGACTGAACAATTAGCTGGCCGATTTCTTTGTGCAATTTTCCCATTGTCATGGACTCTGGTGAGAACAAGATAAATAAGTTGTATGAATATTTAGAAGTTTAAAGAATAAAAATAACCATGCCATTTAACTAAAAACTTGAAAGACCATATTAATCAAAAGGCAGCAGATGACCCCCCACACTTCCACTTTATTACCAAATGTCAACGTGACAAATGCGAGGGGACAGGGCATAATCTGATTTATACACTTCATGGTTCAACACAAAGCATGTCAAAACCAAACCAGATTTCCCCTCCACACCTACCTGATATGAATTTTTATTTTTCTTTCCAGACAAAATCTAATGAAAACTTTAGACTACAATTAAGCTGTGACTTTAAGGCAAGAGTCTGGCTTCCTTGTCCAAGTCTTTACAGTTGAGAATTTTTCCTCATAAGAAAATCTTTATGAAAGGAATGTTGTGAAAGAAGTGCTTCCTGTCAGTTCTGTAGAAGCCAACTGCGCATTCTGTGTGTTAAAAGTCCATAAAACATGAACAAAGGGAACAACCTAAATGACATAAACACTGCTACTGTCCGCAGCATCATTAACAGAAAGTTCCTTTGCCACTCCATTCAGATGGTGCTGCATGGGATAAGCCCATTTTATAGATCCAGTGTAATGGAAAAATCTATGTAACAGTGATCCCTAATGAGCTGACATTCATCAGCCCCCACCTTTAGAAGAAAGGTAAGTGACCACACAAAAGCTGGGACCAGTAATTCTGTCTGCACTACTAACAGTCTAGGTCTACGGGATGAATACTGAAAAGCCCCTCCAACTTCAGCAGAGCAGGCTAAGCAGGCCTTGAGTGCAGCCACTGGGCTTATATCTCATGTCAACAACAGGGAACTAACCTTTTGCAAGTGGAGCAATGGTGATCTCACTATCTGCCAGATTCACAAACACGTCATAGAGATCTGGTCTGTTGCTCACCTCCAGGTCTACGAACCCAGCAATGTAACCTGTATCACAAAGATGACCAAATTACTGGATCAGGAAGCAATCATATTGTGAATGTATCAAAAGGGATTTGAGTCTAACAGCTCACCAGTTACTTATCTTCATGATTTTATTTATTTTGAAACTTTCGCTGTATCCTGTGACATTTATTAAGAGTATATGACTGTCAGCTGCCTAAAGAAATTCACACAAATTTCAGAATTCCAGAATATGACTTTGCCATTAGGAATAAGGCTCAAATGAAATATTTACTGTTCAGTCACTGCTTTCTGGGTCAACAATGCCAGGAGGCCGAAGGTAGCACAGACTCACTTAACTGATGTTTCCACCTCAGATCTGTCCCCAGGGAATCAGAGCCAAATGTTGTGTTCTCAGGGACTACATGGACAGGGCATCATTCTCTGCTTTCAGATCTGATATCATAAATGCTGAAGGAATCTCGACAACTCAAGAATTAGCAGACTTCTGGAATTGGTGTTAAGACAATGTTCCCAGATTGTTTTAATTTCACAGAGCAATATAATTTGAAAGATGTTTTTTTAAATCATTGCAAATTTTTCTTTTATCAAGTAAGGATATTCAAAAAACTAAAGAAATAAAAATAAAACCCACTACTAAAAGTTAGACCCATACCAATCACATGAGAAAATATGATACCTGCCAGAATGACACTGCTGATTGCTAATTATTCAATAAAGGTCCTGGGCCAAGTGGTTATCCATGTGGAAAATAAATGAGATCAGGGGCTGGGGTGTAAATCAGTGGTACAGCTCATGCTAAGCACATGAGGCACTAGATTTAATCCGCAGCAATCCCCCCAACACACACACACAAATCAGATGTCAACTTACTACACACAAAAAAAATAACTCCAGGTAGAATGTGTAAGAAAAACAGTTTTGATTAGAAAATATAAGAGAAACTGGGTGCCATGGCATGTACCTGCAGTCTCAGCTACTTGCAACACTAAGGTGGGACAATTACGTGAGCTGAGGAGTTCAAGGCCAATCTGAAAAACATGGCAAGACCCCATCTCAAAAAAACAAAAAACAAACAAAAAATTAACCAAGGGGGAGACTATCTCTTTACTCTTGTGGTGTAGATTTTTTTTTTCTAAAAATCATAAAACTCTAGTAAATTCCAGTGCATTAAAAGTAAGAATTCACTGTGGTGTAATCCCAGCAGCTCAGAAGGCTGTCGGGAAGATTGAAAGCTCAAAACCAGATTCAACAACTGAGTGAGGCCCTAAGCAACTTAGTGAGATCTGTCTCAAACTAAAAAATAAGGGCTGGGGCTGTAGCTCAGTGGTAGAGTGCTTGCTTTGCATGCATGAGACCCTGGGTTCGATCCCTAGCACCACATAAAAATAAACAAAGATATTATCCATCTACAACTAAAAAAATAAATAAATAAAAAATAAAAAGGGCTGGGGATGTGGCTCAGTTTTTAAGTGTTTCTGGGTTCAACCCCCAGTACCAAAAAAAAAAAAAATAGGTTGCATTTTGCTGATGGCTACATAACAATGTGAATATACTTAAAAATAGTTATAATAATAAACTTTATTTTATAACAATTTTTTTTTAAAGTTATGAGTTCAATCCCCAACACCATAAATCAACAACAACAAAAATATAAACCCTCTTTCAAGCAGGGTCCTTCCTCCCCTGGAATGCTCTTGTCTACCTGTGCACATCTGCAGGGCTTCTAGCTCATCAGTGTTGAGGTGCACATAAGAATGCAGGATGGTCCAATCCTGTCGATGCCACACCAGGGCAGGCAGAGTCCTGGGGAATCAAGGCAAAAACTCAATCACATGGTTGCTGGCCCACACCTTAGAGAACTTTCCCTTTCTTTCTTCCAGTGGTGAAAATTCAGTGGGTAGAGTCCTGCGGTAAGTCAGAGGCAAAGGTAAGACCACGCCCAAGTGTGCTAACACATCCAGGCTGCATATCAAAGCAATGCCATGTTTGAAACTCAGCTTTTGGGGTCATTCTGGCTACAAAAAGTTGAGGTTTCCAAGGATCTGCAAAGAGTGATGGTTCTAACGTTTTCCTCCAAACATCCCACTCTGCAGCCTGCCACAAAGAGAAAGACTGGGAGTAACAACCAAAGTGGCCTGTCCCTCTGGAAGTCTTTCATTTAAATCTAAAATTCCAGTCAATCTTGAAAACCACATTGTGTTTGTTTTCAGATAGTGTAAGATTTATTAAAAAAAACTTGTACTATAGGGCTTGGGTTGTGGCTCAGTGGTAGAGTGCTTGCCTAGCATACAGGAGGCACTGGGTTTGATCCTCAGCACTACATAAATATAAAATAAAGATATTATGTCCACCTAAAACTAAAAAATAAATATTTTTAAAAATTTAAAAAAAAACCTTGTACTACAGAAAGATGTGCCAAAGTTAACTGTGCCAAAGTTAAATGTGCCTGGTGACATATCTCAGAAGCTGTGGACACTGCAGTTTAAGAAGTATAAAGTGTGCGCTAGGGTGCAGCTCAGTGGTGGAGTGCATGTCTAGTGTACAGGAGGCCCCGGGTTCAACTGGAAGCCCTGCCAAAAAGAAAAAAGAGTGTCCTGCTTCACTCAGAAGTATACATGTAGGGAGAACAAGTGAGAGGGGAGAAACATACTGAGTTTTAAAGCCAGAGAGGGCAGGGTTCAAATTCCGGCCCTCTCACTTACTAGGAAGCAATCATGAACAGTAGTCACCTCTAAATCAAGAATGAAGGGCAGGACACACACTAAGCACATGGGCATAAATTATGTTCAGTCCTAAAAACCAGTGTATAAAGTATTATCTTCAGAGACAGAGAAACTGAGGCTCAGAAACACTTAGCATCTTTTATATGGTCACAAAGCTAACAAGTTGTCCTCCTAGGATTTGAACCCAGGTCTTTCTGACTACAAAGCCTTTCTCCTCAGTATCCTGCCACTTAACCTCTTCAGCCTCATTTTTTTTTTTTTTTTTTTTTTTTTTTTTGGTGCTAGGTATTGAACCCAGGGCCTTGTACATGGGAAGCAAGTACTCTACCAACTGAGCTATATCCCCAGCCCAGCTTAAATTTTTTCATTCATAAAACAAGGCAATGATGTATCCTTGCAGAGTTCCTATCCCAATAAATAAATTATTTCAATTTAAGGTATCTTACATACAGTAAACCTACCACAAATGCTAATTCCTCCTGCTTTTCAAAAGGATCTAAGAAAAAGTTAGAAAAAGTTAAATAAAAACTCTTAAGAAAGTTTGCTAACTCCTTGCTTTAAAATAGTCCCATTTTTTAAATAGACCCATTTCTAAAGTTAAAGAAGAACCTGTCCAAATCCAGTGACCTTGAACCACTAGATCTAGACTGAAACATTAAACCCCAATGGTATTTTACCATCAGAGTAATACATGCTATTTATACCAAATGTGCAACAGAACAGAGCACATGTTACCAGCTAGTGTTCTGAACTGTCTGCCAAGAGTTTGTGCTTTTTAATAATTGGTGACAAGAGCCAGGTACAGTGGCCCACATCTATAATCATAGTGACTTGGGAGGTTGAGACAGAAGGATCCCAAGTTCAAGGTCAACAATTTATCAAAAATAAAAAGGGCTGGGGGAATAGCTCAGTGGTAGAGCACCCTTGGATTCAATATCCAATACCACATACACACACAAAAAGACAATCAGTGACAATACCTGGTAAACTCCTGAACAGCTTCTATTTTAGGGTGATAGACAACAATTCGTTTTTTTAGCATCAATGCCGTGTGTAAGATAACAGTTTCCATTCCAAATTGAGATACAATGTCTTAAAAGAAAAATGATCATGTTATTACATTCAATATTACATAACGGTATAAAGTTTTTAACAGAAAGAATTCTTGTCATATGAATGCAGAATTATTTTTAATACAGAGAAAAAAGTTAGGCAAATGTTTAAGCACAAAAACACCTCATTTGGTGGACAGGCATATCTACCCACGTGCTGGATGCAAAGATGAAGCCAAAATGATAAGGGAACCAACATCTTTCTGTGTCACAAAAATTTCTAACTAAGCAGGCACGGTGGTACCCCCCTGTGATTCCAGCTACTTCTGCCTCCAGACTGAGGTAGGAGGATTCCAAGTTTGAGGCCAGCCTAGGCAGTATAGTGAGAACCTGTCTCAAAATAAAATAAAAAATTCTTGGGATGTAACTCAGTGGTAGAGTGACCCTGGATTCATCCCCAGTGCTGGAGGGAATATATATAGAGAGAGGGAAAGTGAAAGAGAAAAAAGAAAAAAAAATCACCTAATTAAAACAAAAAACAAAAACAAAATCCATTATTTTAGTTCTTTTTTAGCTAGCTTAAAGAACACTAAACACCTCAACAGGATGCTTAGAAATCACAAAGGACAGGAGATCAAAAGCAAAAGGCAGGGAAACAGGTTTCCCTCCTAAAAACCCTAAAGTCTGGGGCTTAGTCTGGAGTTTCTGCCATTTTGGATTTCCTAGCTGGGTGTTAGATTAGGGCTTGATCTTTCCAGATGGAAGCACTAACTGATAAGATCTAAGGAAAGGAAAAACTGTGGAAGTCAGTAGAGACCTTGAGCCATGAAGTTCAACTTGCTAGTGGAAGAACATTCCATTCTGTAGGGTATTAGACACTGGAAATTGAACCCAGGGCTTTTCTTTGCCAGGCAAGTGCTCTTCCATTGAGCGACATCCCTAACCTTCTTTATCTTATTTTGAGACATGTCTTGCCAAGGTGCCCAGTGTGGCCTCCAACTTGAGATCCTCCTAACTCAGCCTCTTGAGCAGTTGGGATTATAGGCATGCAAAGCCACTGCACCAAGATGAAAGAACATTTCTGTGGTAATAGAGTAATATAGGAATTAATGGCACAAAAATATTTTCCTTTGACAGAATTCTAAACCAATTGGAAAATATGGGAGTTGAAACACTCTCCTATGTAGGCAGCGCGTTACACAGAATGTATGGAGGGGTGTACAACAGTCTACAGAGAGGCAGGCCTTGCCTCAGGGATTCTGTTCATGGCCTGAGTTTTTCTTTCTCTTTTTGTTTGTTTACCTTTGATGGAGCCTGCAAGGTATGCCTTTCGAGCATCAAAGTCCTTGCTAAGAAAAGAGCCATTTTCTTCACTCTGGCAGATACCCTTGGTAAGAACTGCAATATAACTCTCCATCATTTTAACTGGACTCCCATGTTTCAGGTACATTCTGAAAGAAACAGAAAAAGGTGACTGCTTTTACTTTGGCAGCATTAATCAGAGAATTGCACTGAGGCTAGGCACTGGTACTTTCTAAAGAATCTAAAGCCATTTTGCTCATACACTTGAATGCCTAAATCTTTTCACATGTATTACTTTTCTAATTTATGTAATAAATGTATTTAATAAAAATACTTGACAGCTAGGCACTGTGGCACATGCCTGTAATCCCAGTGGCTAGGGAGACTGAGGCAGGAGGATTTCAAGTTCAAAGGCAGCCTCAGCAACAGTGAAGTGCTAAGCAACTCAGTGAGAACCTGTCTCTAAATAAAATACAAAATAGGGGTGGGGATGTGGCTCAGTGGTCCAGTGCCTCTGAGTTCAGTCCCCAGTACAAAAAAAAAAAAAAAGGGGCTGGGATTGTGGCTCAGCGATAGAGTGCTCGCCTTGTACAGGTGGGACCCGGGTTCAATCCCCAGCACCACATAAAAATAAAGGCATTGTGTTGTGTCCATCTACGCCTTAAATAAATAAATATATTTTTAAAAATATTTAAAAAAAAAACCCAAAACACTTGACAGATCTTCAACAGTTCTTTGAAAGCAGCTCTAACCTTACATCTGGAGAAGACTGCTAAGATTCCTTATAGCAGGAGAAGAGACTATGGACTCTCCCAGTCCCCATTATTCTCAAGAATATCATATTCTTATCTCCTTTTATGTCTTTGTTCACAACTGGTGTTTTTAGTCATACAACTTTGTTTTATTGCTGCGGTTTTCTTTGACAAGAAAAGAGTTTTCCGCGTTGTTCACAGAGAAAGCAGTAATTAGTTGTAGAACCTATACTTATTATCAGAGCTCCCAGAGGTGGCTATCTATATTTAGATAATTAAAAAAATCCAAGCTCTTTTAAGTTTCCAGTGGTAAATGCACACTAGAGACATTCGTCATCAAATTAAGACTTCCAGAAAATGCTGACAGGAAACTGGCTGCATTTATAGCTCACACAGAGTCAGTCTCTTCCCTTGAAATCTTTTCCTGTGAGCAACTAAACCTAAATTTTGCTTAAGAAATAAGTCTGGGGCTGGGGTGCGACTCAGTGGTAAAGCGCATGCTTATTAGCATGAGTGAATTTCAATCTCCAGCTCCAAAAGAAGAAGAAGAAGAAAAAAAAGATATGATTCAGTCTAGCTAGGCCTTTCAGGAGCTGATATGATAGAAAGCTGGGAAGAAAATAACACTGATGTTTTAAGAAAAAACACTTAAGGGGCTGGGGATATGGCTCAAGTGGTAGAGCACTCGCCTAGCATACATGAGGCACTGGGTTCGATTCTCAGCACCACATAAAAATAAAATAAAGATATTGTGTTCACCTAAAACTAAAAAATAAATATTTAAAAAAAGAAAAAACTTGAAATTATATTAATTGTAGACTAATTGAAAAATGCTCGTGGTTTTTACTTCTGTTTTTTTTTTTCCTTTTGGTATTGGGGATTGAACCCAAAGGGGTTTTGCCACTGAGCCACATTCCCAGACCTTCTTATTTTTTCTTTTGAGACAGAGTCTTGCTAAGCTGCTTAGGGCTCACTGAGTTGCTGAGACTGGCCTTGAACTTGTGATCCTCCTGCCTCAATCTCCCTTGTTGCTGGGGTTACAGGTAAGCATGACTGTGCCCAGCTTTTTTTTTTGAGATGGGTCTCATCATATTGCTTAGGCTGATCTCGTACTCTTGAACTCAAGGGATCCTCTTGCCTCAGCCTCCTGAGTGTGGGGACTGAGCTAAACGTTAGTGTTTTAACTGGTAACCAAGTTTTGTTAGTCATCAGCAGGTTTTTTTTTTTCCTAATTTCAAATAAACTGGGGGTAAGGGAGGTGAAGAACAATGAATACAGTGGGTTTTCATAATGGAAAACCATGAACTCAAGCTTATATATGAAGAAAACATCTTTGTTAGGATAGAAAGAAAAGATCACAAAGGCTGAATGTGTGGAGTCAGGAGGCAAAATGGGAGGCTGGGGAACAGGGAGGAGGGATCTTAGTTTTCACTCTATACTCTTCTGTATTATTGATTTTTAAAATATTCTGTTTTATTGCCACCAACAAAAATGCCATTAACATTACAAAATAGAAACAATATACAGTAATGCAGAAGACAAACATAAAAGTTGATGAATAAGATGACTTCCTAGGTGGCAACTCTGGGCTGTGAAGGACACAACAGAGAAAGGAATTCCTAAACTACTCCATAGGAGAACTACACAGTGCAATCCAGTGGGCCTTGTCCAGACAGACTCCATAGGCTGTCACATCTGTCACAGCTGAGTCCAGGTGTTCAGAAAACCATGGTTCTTTACCAGGGCCACTGCTACAGGGACTAGAGGATAAAGGAGGTCACGGCAGAGGGTGCCACCAAGGGACTGAAGCCTATGCATGTGGCTTTTGCTGCCACTGTGAGCAATGTGTTGTAGGAGGCAAGCCTGCCTGCTTCTCTGCCCAGAAGTAGAAGGAGCACCTCCATGCTGACCTCACCTCCATGAAGAAGCATTTGCCTGTGCATAAGCACGTAGACATACATGTGGGCATGTGATGCAGGGTAGGGGTAGAGGAGATGGCTGGCAAGAGCTCCAAGTCCTTATTTCTTTTACTCCATGATGGAGAAGAGAATCCAAAATGCTACCACACCCAGGCACTGCAGAAGCTAAAGACCTTCTAGGTATCCTCCGGGACAGGAAGTGGGGTCTGAAACAAACCTGCCTTCTGGATCCTAGAGTATCTCCCAGGGATTTCAGTTGAGTAACCTAACCCTGACTCCATCAAGTGAAATGGGAGTCCAGTATTTGTTCAAAAAAACCTCTGTTAGGGCTGGGGATGTGGCTCAAGCAGTATCGCGCTCGCCTGGCATGCGTGCGGCCCGGGTTCGATCCTCAGCACCACATGCAAACAAAGATGTTGTGTCCGCCGAAAACTGAAAAATAAATATTAAAATTCTCTCTCTCTCTCTCTCTTTAAAAAAAAAAAAAAAAACCTCTGTTAGGCTGGGGTTGTGGCTCAGTGGTACAGCACTTGCCTAGCATGTGTGAGGAACTGAGTTTGATTCTCAGCACTACATATAAATAAATGAATAAAATAAAGGTCCATCAACATCTAAAAAAAATATTTTAAAAAATACCTCTGTAGTGTTTTTGGTTGTGGCTTCTGGGTAGCGTCTCTTCTAGGAATCATAGCTACCCTCCATGTCAGTGCCACAATAGCAGAAAGTTGTTTATATTCCATAGTGAGCCATGTGCCTGGCTTTCTTATTGTAGCTAGCAGCACAAATGGTAAAAACCTCAGTCAAAAATATAATCTAGGGCTGGGGATGTGGCTCAAGAGGTAGCACGCTCGCCTGGCATGCGTGCGGCCCGGGTTCGATCCTAAGCACCACATACAAACAAAAGATGTTGTGTCTGCTGAAAAAACTAAAAAATAGATATTAAAAAAATTCTCTAAAAAAAATTATATATATATATATATATAATCTAACTGAAACCCTTAAGTAATAAGATTTAAGTTTTTGTTTTTTTTTGTTTGGTGTACATTTATGTGGGGGGATATGCAGCATGAAAAATGCAAAAAAGCAACCATTTATTGGGTTTACAGTGGGAAAAACAATTTCTTCTACTTTTCCACAAAACTATACATAACATCTAGAATTGCAATTTTTTCAAGTGGTAATATTAAAAAGAACGACATGAAAACTAAAACTTATAGAAACCTCCATCATTAAAGAGTCAATGCCCCTAATAATAGGACACGATTTCATTAAGTCTATTAGATATACTTGACAAGAAAACAGATTGGTATATTTTAGATAAATATTTTCAATAGCAGGGATGAAACTAAAAGAATCTACTTGAATCACAATTAATATATCAATCACAATTTCCCAGCCCCTCAGCAGTCCAGCTAAAAAAATATTTTTCTGTGCTTTGGCAGAATTCAAAATATCTATTAACTTTACCCCATATCACTGCCACACATAGATATGGACACACAGGAACCAGCTTACCACTTCATCAAGTATTTAATTTATCCATCCTGCAAAAGAAACTTCCTAGGTTAAAAGTCAGTAGAAGTAACAGATAAAAAATGGCAAGTAACCTGAGGCACCCAGACTACGACAGCTATGCACACTGCTTTTTCTCTTCCCTTAGCCCATTCTCCCAGATCAGCGGCAAAATTAACAAAGCAGAACAGAAAGTCCTTCTTTACAAAAGAGGCTCTGGAGGGCCACTACAGGGTGAGTTAGGGGGACAGAGGGCTGAAATTGGCTTCCTCCATGTAGAAATCTGCTTTATTGAGTGTGATCTTCATTTTGGCATATTAGCATTTAACACAGTTTTCATACAGACCTACACAATATCCTAGCGAAGGCAGCATATTTCTCTGGATTAAAATCTTTGGCGGTCAGAACAATAGAAAAATGAGTCACCTGTCCGAAAGAAACAAAAAGGATACCTTAATAGAATTTAATAGATACTTTAACAGAAGGGTAATTTATTACTTTGGTCTAGCAAACCTCTTATACAAGAAATACCAGCATTAAAAGGAAAAGCTGAAAATATAAAAAGTTCTCACTTGCTCCTCTATTACTTGTATATGTTTATTTATAATAGATAAGTATGTATTTATTTATATGTACATGTATTTAGTTAGATATTTACATTCAGATATTTAATTTCCTACATAAAAATCCAATAATTTTAGAAATCTTTTTTCAAAAACACACAAAAAATTTCACTCATATATCAAAAAGGTAAGTTTTTAGTAGCCAGTGTTTGTTTAAAAACACTCGTCAAAGCAAAACTAGGACCGCTAAATCAGACCCATGAGGGTTGCAATTATAGCTCAGTGGTAGAGTGCTTGCCTAGTGTGTATGAGGCACTAGGTTCAATCTTCAGCAGCACATAAAAAATAAATAAACAAATAAATAAAATAAAGGTATTGTGTCTATCTACGACTAAAATTTTTTTTTAATTCCATCATTATAGGGCTGGGGATATAACTCAGTTGATAGAGTGCTTGCTTCCCGTGCACAAGGCCCTGGGTTCAATCCCCAGCACATACACACATACCCCCACAAATATTATATATATAAAAGAACCAGACCTATCAATTTAGCAACTGTTTTTCATCAGTGAGACAGAATGGAAAACAGCAAAATACATGTCAGATTCTGAAACAGTCAACTCTCTATACAGTGCTCTAAGGAGTATTATTCTAGGGCTGAGGTTGTAGCTCAGTGGTACAGCCCGTGTCTAGCATGTGTGAGGCACTGAGTTCTATTCTCAGCAATGCATATAATATAAATAAATAAAGATATTGTGTCCATCTACAATGAAAATAAATAAATAAATGGTATTATTCTAACAAGCTTCATTTACTTATATGCCTCTATTATTGTAAATATACATTTCTGATAATCATATGCCTGATATTTCCATTAATAAGACAAAATTCAGAACTTTATTAAAAGCAAAAGCATTGAAGAAAAAAAAATTTTTAAATCACACTTGAAGCATAAGAACTTTCTCTAAATCTTGCTGACAGTGATGCTGCCATAACTTGCAGTCTGTAGTGCAAAACATGAGATAAGTCCACTGGAGGCTGCATCAAGACTTCTCATCAAAAACTTTAAGGACAGACACCAAAGATCTTAAAACAGCTTGGAACCTATCTTCTTGCAAATTTACATTTTCTAATATAAGTCTCTATTTCGTCTTAAACTTGTAACCATTCCTAAATTGTTGTCTTCTTGATATTTTAAATGTAATTTCTTAAGTTTAAATTTGTTTTCTGTACATGCTTCATATAATTCTATTATAGCTGAAAAAAAAAATAACCCAGAAAAGGGAAGAGAATTGCTTCTGGTGTATGCCAGAGGTTCAGCTGCTTCATTCTAATATTCCTTTTTAAAAAAAAAAAAAATCTTTTTTATAGTTACAGATGGACAGCATGCCTTTATTTATTTATTTTTTTTTAACGTAGTGCTGAGGAGAATCCAGTGCCTCACACATGCTAGGCAAGTGCTCTGCCACTGAGCTACAGCCCCAACCCTACCTAATATTCTTTCCTTTGGAAAAACCTGCCTGCTTGTGATTAGGAAAGTCCACAATAACCATGTAATGATTTCACCATGTCACATTGATACTATTGTTATTTTATTTTTTGTCAGTACTGGGGATTGAACCCAGTTTCACCCATTCTAGATGAGCACTCTACCACCAAGCTACATTCCCAGCCTTTCACTGATACCATTCTTATGCAACAACACACCAATAAAAGCCTCCTTAATACAAGAATTTTCTTTTTTAAAAACATTTTTATTAGTTGTTGATGAATTATTTTGTTTATTTATTGGTATGTGGTGCTGAGAATCAAACCCAGTGCCTCACACATGCTAGGCAAGCACTCTACCACTGAGCCACAATCCCAGCCCAATATATGAATTTTCTTAATTATCATTTTTAAATTCCTAATATATCCTTATTATTTATAAGCAAATGAAAAAAACTTAAATCTGCCAAGAATAATTATATTTTCTAAGATAGCTTCTAATTATGGAAGAATACTTCTTTCCACTTTTAACCAGTCACGGCTTTAAAACTACTTTTACATTTTTACTCCACCCGACTATGACCTTGATAAGGAGGAGACCAAATGTGTCAGTATTGGTTACCACTCTACCAACCACAAAAAATACTTATAGAATCAATGAGTGAAGTATAAAAGAAAACATTCCCAATGAAAGTAGCAATGTTTTCCATAAATAAGATCTAAAGCTGAGTTTTGGAATAATTTTATATCACTTAAAATTTTTGCAGTCATACCTTTTTCAAAACTGAAGAATCTGGAACTTCAATTGTTGTGATATAAAACCATGTTCTTCTGTACTGCCCAAAGACAAAGGGATGGAGAAGTTTGTTTTCGTCTGTGAGACAGCATTTTCTGAGCAGCAGATTCCTTAATGCGGCTGTCGTGGAAGGGTAACACCACACCCACAGAACTTCTCCATTTGTGTCCTTTTCTACGGTGGAAAGATGGTCACTGTGAGAATGCCAAACAGCAGCAAGGAAGTGAATTGATTGGTTACTCACAGGCACCTAGTGGAATCAGTTTTAATACCCCATTTTACAAAGAAACCTGGAGCACTAGAGATACCAATTCCCATGAATTCATGATTTTGAACTGTAGACACCAGAGTAAAAGTTTTTTTATGACAAATCACAAAGGAAAATTTAGCTATAGATATTTGGTATATCCTCCTTATCTCCTCCCACACCAATATTATTTACTTGTAATTACACTAAGTTTTTATCTAGTTCTAAGAATCTTTAATAAACATAGAAAAGATTTGTTATAAAAGAAAAAGAAAAAGGGATATAGCACCCCAAAGCTGGTGCTGAAAAAAAATTTTTTTAAATAAGAAGTGAAGAAGATGGTGTCATTTCTTTTAAATCATGTTATATACCAATCGTGCAAATTCCCAGTCCCTAAAGTTTTTAAAATAATAATAATAAAGTTTTATCCAGTCATATGTGTAGCTTTATCATCAAATACCTCAATTATAAAAAGAAAACTTTGCTAATAATAAAATTCACGGGGCTAGGGGTGTAACTGTAACTGAGTAGTAGAGTGCTTGCCTGGCATCATGCAAGAGGCCCTGGTTTGATTTAAAGCAAAGGGTAGGGGGAAGCAAGGCAAAAAGAACTTAAACTTTAGAGAAACAGCCTACTGCACATATAGCAGTAAAAATTACATTTGGGGACTGGGGGATACAGTTCTGTGGGAGAACACTGAACTAGTATGTGTAAGTCTCTAGGTTTGGCTCTGGGGGGAAATATATATATATATATATATATATATATATATATATATATGTATTCATATATTTAAAATATATTTATATATATATATATTTTAAATACAAGTTTTGATAGACTTTTTATGCAGTATGATTTTAAGTGTGTAACTAGATTAAATAATCTAAACATTTTAAAAGCTCTTGTATTATGGAAAATATCAACTATGTAAAAAATAGAGAATAATAAAATTAATTTCCCTTCTCTATCACTGATCTTCAACAATTATCAAAACCAGGTCTTTCATTTTTCATATGGGAAAGGGATATCCTAATAAATTTATTATTATTATTATTATTATTATTAGGTACAGGGGATTGAACCTAGGGGCTTTTTACCATTGAGTTACATGCCCAGCTTTTTTTATTATGAGACAGGGTCTCACTAAGTTACTAGGAACTCATTAAACTGCTAAGACTGGCCTCCTACACTTAATCCTCCAGCCTCAGTGTCCCAAGTTGCTGGGATTACAGGTGTGGGCCACCAAAACAGGCTACAATAATTTTTAAAGAGATGGGGTCTTACTATGTTGCTCTGCCTGGGCTTGAACCAAGCAATCCTCTTGCCTCAATCCCCTATGTAGCTGGGACTACAGATGTCACCACACCACTGGCACCACCTTTATTTAGAAACAAATCCCTTCTAAATGCATGTCAATATGAAAAACAAATCTTCTGAATTAAAAAATATGATGATAAGGGGCTGGGGATATAGCTCAATTGGTAGAATGCTTGCCTCACATACACAAGGCCCTGGGTTCAATCCCCAGCACCACCCACACCCACACCCACACACACACACACAATGATAAGTCATCTTTTTCTTCCTTGCTACTAGATAAAGTCAGAGTCTCCCTCGTCCTTAATTCAGAAGTAACTTCTGGCAGGACTAAGATGCTGGATTTTAGGCGGTTTAAAGCGGTTTTCAAATCAGGTTAGAAATTAATTCAGGAAGCTGTTCCCTGATAAATGTACTCTTTTGAGACAATGAAAAAATAATCAACACATTTCTCCAGTTCTCTAAGTCTAAGCAATGTTCTTGTACTTTGTGGGGATAGAAAGAGCATTTGAGGGTGTGTTAAAACCTCAGGAGAATAAGACTTTTTCAAAAAGAAACGATGGATGTTTATTTTCCTTCAAGCAGCTGAGTGCTGACAAACGACTCCTTGAGATGCCCACCCCTCAAGCGCTGCACACGTTCTTGTTTGCCCCGAGATCCAACGAACTTCCCAACCATCAACTGCTCAAAGCTAACCGGGATCCCACTGGAGAGTATGCAGGAACTCCAGCTCCGCGCACGAGCTCGATCATATGATGCCGGAGTTCTCCTCTGGTATGAGTGGGGACTCAGGGCTTTCCAGTCCTGGCTGTCACTTCCTAGCGTGTGTCGTGCACAAATGACACCCTGGGCTTACATCTGATGTTACCCACACCCCCCGGTGAACTATACACGGGGTATCGTTAATCTGTGTGTAACGCCCAGCACCCGGGCCCAGCCACTGGGTCTCCAACCGCTAGATCCCACCACCCGGTGGGCCGGGGCTCCGCGGCGGCCGCCGGCGCTGCTCCGCAGGATGGCCAGCCATCTCCCGCCCCGCCGCCCGGGAGCGGCTCCCACCCGGCCGACCCGGCCTCCGCAGTCTCCCAGGTCTACGGCAGCCCGAACCTCGGGCTCCGCCGGGCAATCTCAGGCGTACTAGAGGAGCTCGGTCTTGGCGTCCGGGTGGCCCCGGGATGGGCAGGCCCCACGCGCGGCCGCGGGACGAGGGCGGCGCGCCAGGCCCCCACGCCTAGAAGGCCAGGCCCCGCTGCTCCCAGCCCAGGCCCAACACCACCCGAGCCGCGGCCTCCCACGCGGGCGGCGCCGGAATTGGGGTGGGCGCCTGCGTCCTCACCGATCAGCCCAACCCCGAGCATCAGCTGAGTGTCCGCCGCCCCAGTCGCAGCCATCTTCTGCCGCCGCCGCTGCGCGCCGCCCTGGCCCCAGACCGCCAGCCCCGCCCCTCCAGGAGGCCCCGCCCCTCACATGTGGGCCCGCCCCTCGCAGGAGGCCCCACCTCGGCCCGGCCCGGCCCCGCCTCAGCTGGTCTGACTTCTTCCTGCTCCGCATTCTGAGGTCCTTGGACCTTGACCTGCTGGAACCTCTCCCAACCACCGGGGCCCTCGCGGTTTCTCTAACCCCATCTTCATCGACCAGCTCCTCAACCCACTCCAAGCTTCTCTACCCTCCTCATTCTAGCTCCTTCTCGCAAACTGGCTCCAAAGGACAAGTTACCCAGTTCCTGAAAATTGAGGTAGCCTGAGGATGGGGGAGTGCCCCCATTCATTCATTCACTAATTCATCCAGCTTTTCGGAAATTGAAAACAATAAATAATCTAGGACCTAACACGTACCAGGAACAGTGTTGACCACAAACATTCTACTGAGGAAGATGGACAACTATCGAAGTAAAATAAATAATACTAGGACGCGTCAGAGTGATAAGCACTATGAAAGCAAAAAGTGTAGTGTGTTGATAAATAGAGGTGTGCTGATTGAAGATGGGTGTCTAGGAAGCCAAGGAAGCCTGAGGAAGGGATCTGAAGGATAGGAAGAAACTGGACAAAACAAAACGTTTGGGTGACTCCAGGATCCTTCCTCCTGTGTTCTCTGCCCACCCCCAGCTCCAAATCACACAAAATGAACCATGGAGAAGACCTTCGTGTTTATCAGCACATAATCCCACCCCCATCTTTTAAAAAGTTTTTTTTACTATGAAATATTTCATACGTGAATACCAGCTCTCTAAAGACAAAATCACAACCGTTTATTTACTGATTTATTTAGCTATTGGATATTGAACCCAGGGGTGTTATACAACCTCTTTTTTTTTTTTTTTTTTTATTTTGGAACAGGATCTCACTAAATTGCCCAGGCTTCCTTCCAACTTATGAGGCTGCCTCAGCCTCTCTACTCACTAGAATTATAGGCAACAGCCTCTGCACAGGCTTGAATTTTAAGCTGAGAAGAGGTTGGCTTTATAGACAGAAAAAGAAAAGAAAAGAAAAAAGCAGAAATGAAGAACAAAAAGGGGATTGGCCGTTTCAAAGTTATTTCATTTTGGGGTTAAAACAGGCTTTCTTTCTGCCTTCTCTGCTACTCAGGTAAATTGGGCCTCTTCTGATGGGTCATTGTGAATTGCCTGTTTTCTGCAAACAGGCCCCATTTTCTAGTTGAGTTTGATTACTTGGCATTTAGCACGAGTCATTTCCTTTTAGTTTGCTATGTTCTGTTGGGCTAAGTGCAGGAGCTTAGTCCAAAACAATGGCCTCCTATACATTTTATTTTATTTAACGCATTCTAAGGAAGACGTGTAGTCACAAACCAACTTAGGACATCAGAATTCACAAATGAAATCAAAGCTACCCCTAGTCTTCCTCAATTCCCTTCCCCTGTTATTTTTAGTTGTTATTTTCCTGTTTTAAAACTTTAACACATATCATCCCATAAAATATTGTTTTCCTTACTTTGAAACTTTATACCAATTTAACAGTAGCTCACTTTAAACTTAATTTTTTTTTGTAGTTGTGAATGGACAGAATGCCTTTGTTTTGTTTATTTTTATGTGGTGCTGAGGATAGAACCCAGTGCCTCACACATACTAGGCAAGTGCTGTACCACTGAGCTACAGCCCCAGCCCTCACACTTCTTGACTGCTGGGCATTGTTGTGTTTTATTCATATCACTTCCTTAAATCCCCACATCACCCCGTGTGCAGGGCCTGTTCTAACTCCCAATGTACAGGTGATATAAATGAAAGGTGATGCAACTTGCCCAGGTTCACAGGACTTGCAAGTGGCAATGCCAGAAAATAGCCCCAAGAGCTTAGACTCCAGTCACATGGCTGGTGGCTGTACTTCACAGGCTCCTATTCTGTATTGTACCATTTGTATTTGTCTGCAACTTGCTTGTCTTGCTCAACTTTATGTTTTTATTAAAAGATTTATTCACATTTATCCAAGTTCTGTATAACTCTGGTTTGGTAATTTTAACTGTTGAGATATGATTTTGTGTATGAAAAGATTATTATTTCCATTGTCCCTTGATGGATATTAGTTTCTTGTTTTCCACTTTTATCATAATGCTGCCATATTTTGTGCAAGTTCCTTGTTCTACTTGCTTTTTTTTTTTTTTTTTTTTTTTTTT